CTCTGAACTGTCTGTCTCATAGCAAGGATCCCAAACGCCCCTAAACGCGCGGGGCCCGTAGCATTTGCTACTTTTGCTACATGACTTATCCAGGCCTGTTATAGAGTATTTCAGATGACGGCGTACCACAGAAACAAGACCTGAGACAATATTCAAAAATCAATTTTCCTCATTGAACCTAACAGATTTTGATTCACAACTCGAGAGGTCATAGATGGCGATAGCATTAACCCAGCACGCGAATCACTCTACTACGGAGGTGGTCAATTACACGCATATTGAAAAAAAATATTCTAACTCGTTCGTTATTTTAAGGTTCAGTATCTGAAAACACAAAAAAGGATTTGTTGTCTAGACCACAAAATTGTTTCCACTTAAAATATATTTGCGGTTAAGATCATTTGTTCCAGGAATGCGTGCAGCTATCAAGATTAATGTCAGATAAAGTTAAATCCCTGGAGTCGTGAAATAATCAAATTTTCTTTATTAACGTAACCAAAAATACAGCCGTTCATTTAGCATATTTTGACACTAGCAAAGAAAACAATAACTTTAAAGTTTGATGAATTTAACAACTAGGTATCTATACTAAATTATAAAGAGGGAAGATTCCATTGTTTCGAAATTACTGGACCGATTTTAAAAATTTTTACACTTACGGGAGCTGCATCATATGTGGTGATTATTACATAAGCTATATTTTATCCCGTAACAGCAAATAAAATGATAAAAATAGAAGTGGAAGATTGTATAGGGAATTAAAAGATTGTTCCTGCGTCGTTTATTATTGTTTTTTTCATTGTAATTATAAGCGTGTCATGATATGAATCGATATCCAAATAATCAGTACCCTAGGGACCACGTGGGCGAAGACGCTGGAGGAAATCTAGTATCATATAAAACAAGTAGAACATAATCCAAATCTCGTATAATAATTGTCGTGTAGAAACATTCTACAAAGATGGTAATCGGTCAAATTTAGATTGCCTCTTAAGTCTTTTTCTCACTTACAGTCCAATGAATATTTTTAAAGTACATTTTTATATACAACCCATTCTACTTATGTTTTTTGTATTGGTCAAGGAATTTATATAAAGATCCAATAGTTTTCGAGTATATTCATTAGATTCAAACAAAACCTCAAATAAATCTGTAGTATTGTAATAATGCGCTTTTGGGGCTGATATTTAATTATTATGAAATAGAAATTTAAATATGAAAGGAAAGTTAAAAATATTATGCTCATGAAAAGAGAAGAAAACCTTTAAGAATTGGAAACTTAAATCTATATGGTCTAAACGAGTACAACCCTGTACTGTACAGAACTTTTACTACACGAATTTGATTCGCATTCGGTCATTATTTTAAACAGTGACAAGTGACAGTGATCTTATTTTTCTTTTTCACTGTAATACAATTATTTGAGAAGAAATTAACTTTGTGTTAATTATTCACTTATAAACTACACGGTTGGAATATCCGATACTTACGATATACAATCATAGGCTCGAAAAGTAAAGCATAACAACGAAGAATTATATCATCACGTTTCAAGGTGAACTATACTATCCTAGTATTAACAAAAGAACATTACCGTACGCGAAGTTCTTGTCCCTTTAAGTGGTTATTCACATATGACCTTTAGAATTGCCGGAGGGTACGCCGGGAATCCATGGAGATTGGTCACAAGATTCTCGATGCCTTTAAATTATTCTTTTAACTCGCAGCACCATTCTTTTACAACGCCAATTACGTACTTGCTGGTTTTATTACGTTACTGCGCGTAATGCTCGCCCGCCAACTTCGAAAGAAATAATGTTTGTTTTACATGTAAATTACACCACGCAATTACTTATCTTTTTATTTATAGTCAATGTGTAAAAATAAATAGTTAGTTTCTAGATTCCTATGTTGTGTTATCTAGACTGTAAAAGTCTTTAATCGGACCTTTACAATTTTCAGGTTTTTTTTGATATTTTCCTCTATATGGAGTTTTACCAACTTCCTATTAAAAAACTCTATATCAAGTATACAATGTGGTTGTTTTATGTTTCAAACAGTCATGGTCTACATTAGTAGGTAAATTTACAGAATTGAGTTAACACAAATTCTTTTCTTTCCCTGTGAAACTCTGAAAATCCAAACGGTACTCGCTCTGAGGTAGGGTGGAACTCCTTCCTGAATTTTAAAGTAAACCTTTTTTGCTTACACCGGAGAAATGCACCTTAAGCCACAATTCATCGATTTATTTGTAGAAAATAATTGTAACGACTCCGTTTAACATACACTGTCGTTGCTTATTTACAATGCCTGAAGATCGTCCTCTGAAAAATTGTAGGTAAATCATGCGTCTACCCTAATTCTGGATGATTGTCTAGCCCAATTAATCTATAATTATTTTCAATCATCATTGTGTTAACTATAATTTATTTATTTATATTTAGTTACAACATGCTGACTTACAGTCTGATAAATCCAATATACCAGTAAGTTCGATAAAGCGATAAACAATGTCTGTTTAGTTAATTTTAAATTACAATTAGAAGGTATGTTCATATCACTATAATAAAAAAATGGAATAGTGACATGACATGCCTGTCATAAATATAATAAACTCAAATAAATGTCGTATAAATCAAAATAAATTGTCAAGAGATTAAAAATAATAATAATAATAATAGTTAAAGTATTAGATAATCAATTACATAGTACTTAATACTAGTTAAGAAATATCGAGCAATTATAACTTATCTGTATTATTAGATTCTTTTTATTGATCTGTATTACATGAATAAATAATTCAGCTTTTTCATTTTGAGCAAGGATGTCACTGATGAGATATCAAAATATCTTTCATTCATTTTTATTTTCATTTTACATGTAGAAATTTATTTATTCACTTGACATTGGCAGAATTGTGCGAAATGCGCAGATAAGCCATAACTTAAAGAAGAAGAAGTAAGTACCTACTTTAACTAAATAAATAAACAAAATTATAATCGATAATTTTACTTTGCAAATCTTGTTATCACGCTACGAACTGAGGGCTAATAAAATTACAACATTGTATAATGTAAATTAAAATGACAATGGAACCAGAAAGAGGATCTGACCATGATATCTGTCAAAGTATGATTGATTTGATTATAATAATTTAATAAAGTTATTACCTATTCAAGGAATTAATTTGAAATGGGTCGAGGATTTGATGGCCATGCTTTTAACCGCCCTACTTCAAATGAAGGTTATTGAATATTTATCCAAACTTGTATTCACTCCTGCGTACCTGTCCCCCGAATGAGGTTAGTCAAAATATAGGAGCATACCTACTAAAACCCACCGATATCACTGTTAAAGCGGTAACACTTCGCCACCATTTCGGGCGATTATAAAGTCGGTTATAAATAAATCAATAGGTTAAATTTTATTATAAGCAAAATATTATTAATTCAGAATATTTGGTGCATCATAGAAAAGCGGTCGAGTCAGAAATTACGTAACGCACAATAGTGACTACGAAAACAATTTATAGATGATTCATTACTTTTCAATGTAAAATACGTCGTGGAGTAAACATTATTTTAATTAACGTGCTGTTGGACGATTACCAGTGTCCTTGAGAGGGTTATAACCCCAATAACTAGCTGGAGTGGTGCATAAATAAATTACATCGCACTTAACAGAGAAAAAAGAAATGCAAACTTGCATTTATGGTGAAATAGTTTTCTCATCTCAATTTTATAATCTTTTTTTTTATCTTTATTATTGTTCGATTTTAAATGCTATACATTTTACAGACATTTACTGTCTTTTGTTTATGTTCTTGATAGATGTGTAAAATCTATTTATATTATTTTTAGCGTTGAACCCCTGTTCATAAACATCCATTTAAATAGACACTAGTTTTAAGCAACAATTTTTCAAATTTAAAACATTTAAGAAAGCTTAATGTCGGACGTTAAATTTACTTACTTTAACATAATTATAGCAAGCCAATGATTTTCAATAATATCGCCTTTTTGACACGGCTCTTGTTGAGGTATATAAAATAACAAAAATATCTGGCTTCGTCCAAGTTGTTCTATATTATACATATAAACCTCCCTCTTGAATCACTCTATATAGTGATGAAAACCGCATTTAAATCCGTTGTGTACTTTAGCAGATCTTAGTAACTAGACAGCGAGAAGCGAATTAGTTTTATACTACGCATAGATAGCACTATTATAGAAATAAAACAGCTAAATTAAGGGCCTTCATGGTGGTCAATAAATATCTTGAAATTCTCTGTACTTCAGAGAATAAAGTCGTTATTCAAACAGAGTGATCGCCTAAATTTTTATTGATTTAAAAAAAAAAAATATTAATAACATCATGCTGCAACTATAAGGAGCGAATAAAAAATGGAAAACGCGGACGAAGTCGCTGGCGGCCACTAGTTATAGGATATAATTCTACTTTTAATTACTTTTACGATTTAGTATTTCAGAAGAAAAAATGGAGCACATAGTATCATTTGCTTGTCCATCTTTTTGTTTACTATATTTAACTTTCTATTACATTTTATTTTATACCTATTGAGCCGAGGTACATTTAAGTAAATAGGTGTACAATGGCAACTCAGATATATTAAAGATCCCTATCGCTGAAAGAACAGGGGTAAAAATATATATTTTCTCTAAAAACTTTGGGCCGCTTTTCTCGGAAACTCTTGATGACAACATTAGAGAATCATAAGAAGTTTGTCATAGTAAAACCTTAATATTTTTTAAACTTAATAATAGAAGAATTTCGACAATTTGAGGACCGTTACTTGTAATTAAAAAAGCCAGTTTGCTTACCAGATAAATTAATTTTATTTTCAGGTTTTAAGATCTATAACTGGAAAGATGTCATCATCATAAGCACGATAATATTGAAACTCTTGAATACAATGGAACTTTCTTCATTCACGTATATTTTGCTGTTTTCACTGGTGACGACAATAAAAGGAATCAATTATGACAATGGTATGTAAGTTTTATATCTTTCCAACATTCTAACACATAACCTGTTGATTTTTTAATCATATACAATCTTCACATTTATTCTTCATGAATTTTTATTCAAGCAAGTTTATTCCTATATTGTTTTCATAATAATAGTTTAAAAAGATCAAGAAAAGCAATTATAAATAAAAAAAAAAATATTTCTGTTATTCAATAAATTTTCTATGATGCGTTTATTGTTATTCAGCATAAATATCAAAATAATGTTACGTAGATCATTTTTATATTAAATTTATTCGTAATCACTTTCTCACAATTCTATTCTATCTGCTCCTTATTCTACTCATTGGAGTAGGGTATATTCTTAACAATATGTTTTCCAATTAACCCCTTATTGATTAATATCTATATTTTTTATTTTATATTTATAATATAAGATTTTCGCAGATGCATCGACGAAAGAAGAACGCGAATCTCGAGCAAACAAACGACAAGTAAAATTGTATTCTGGGATTCGAGCAGCACCTATCGTTTGTAATGAAGAAGGTTTTCAAGAAGATCCCATTGATTGTGGTTTGTTTCATAGATGTGTGAAAACAGGGAGGGATCGATTTGTATCTTTTCGAGTAAGTGAACAATTAAATGTTATTTTTGCATTTTATAAGTACTGTGCAATATATTCACAAATTATATGTATTCAGTTTCAGTGTAGTCCAGGAACGATATACGATCCAGATACTGAAATTTGTAACCATCCAGAAAAAACTAGAAGAGTTGCTTGTGGAGGAAGAAGTAACGAAATTGAACGAAATAACAATGAAATTAGTCAAGAAATACCATCCCCAATAAGTACTAAAAAACCTATGGCTATAATAAACCAAGATAAAAATATTCCAACACTAAAACCATTTATTTCAAATAGTAAATTAGTCTCACAATCAACCACAAATCCAGTTTTATTAACTAAATCAACAACTACGGAAATAAAAAATGATGATATTTACTATATGCAAAGCCCTTCTGTAAATTTGAGATTAACTACTCCAAAAAGTATAGCTTTCATTAATCACCAGACGACTCTCCAGTCTGGAGAAATTTGTACTTCGGGTGGTTTTATGGGCGATAGTGAAAATTGTCGCAAATTTTATAGATGTGTCGGTAATCAACGAGGTGGATTTATAAGATATGAGTTCTTATGCAGTGATCCGACAATATGGGATGAAGACAAACAAGCATGTAACCATGTCTGGAATGTTAAGAGAAGACGATGTGGACGAGGCAATATGTTTGAAAATGATATTAAAAGTGACAATCTCACTAATATATTGAGTACTAGTAAAACGGATAAACTTGACAAAGAGCAGCATCCTAATAAGCAGATTCAATCTCAAATTAATTATGGTTCGAAAGTTATTCAAACACAAACTCAAATAAGCAAGGGTGCTGTCAACCAAAACCAAACTCAAATAAACTATGAAAATGCTGAAAATGTTAAACAAAACCAAACACAGATTAGTTATGGAACAGTTATAAGTCAAATTCAGAGTCAAATTAACTTTGGTAATAAAGGAACTCAAACACAGTTACAAATTAACCATTCAAATGATTCTAGTCAAATGCAAAGCCAAGATATTAAACCAATGAGTACTACGCCCGTTGCTACCAATAACATTCCTTATAATGTTAGCAGCACAACAATGGAAATTACAAGTAATGGTTGCACTGAAAGTGGTTTCATGGGTGATACAAATGATTGTAAAAAATTTTACCGATGTGTAGATAGTGGCAAAGGTACTTATATTAAATATGAGTTTTTTTGTAGTGAAGGAACAGTCTGGGATCCTAAAGTTGAATCATGTAATCATGCATGGGCTGTCAAAGAATGCGGTGTTACAGAGTCTTCTTTTCAATATACAAATGAAATGGGAAATCATTTGACCACAGTTAAACCTAGCCCAATAATATTATCAACAACTTCTTCGTCTGAAAATTATTATATATCGAAAGAACCCATAACAGAGGACAATGAAATATCATATGGTAACCAGCCATCGTCTTTTGCAACTGGCAAGCCAATATCATCAACAGTACTATCAACAATTTCATCAACTGAAAATTATTATATATCGAAGGAACCTATAACAGAGGAGAATGAAATATCATATGGTAACCAGCTATCGACTTCTGGAACTAGTAAACCGATATCACGACTGACTACTTTATCAACAAAACCAGATAGTGGCACCAAATGTAAATCAACTGGATTTTTTGGTGACAAATATGATTGCAAGAAGTTTTATAGATGTGTTGACAATGGAAATGGGCAATATATACGTTATGAATTTAGTTGTGGTGAAGGTACTGTGTGGGATTCCAAAATTGAAGCTTGTAACCATGCGTGGGCTGTCGAAAAGTGTGGAAGCAATCAAAATACTGATATGGAAATAATGCCTACCAAAGCAACACAAGTTACATATCCTCTACCACAGTTAACTTCTCCTACATCACAACAAAATGATGACTATGATACTGGTTATGGTTCTCATCAAGAATCTACGTCAGAAACACTAACAAGCTTAAACACCAAAATTACAACAGAGATAACAACAATCACCACTACCACAGTATCCCAAAATCAATATGAAGTTACAAAAACTGTATGTAAGACTAGCGGTTTCATAGGCGATCCTAAAGATTGTAAAAAATTCTATAGGTGTGTTGATAATGGTGATGGTTCATATACAAAATATGAATTTTCGTGTGGCGAAGGAACTGTTTGGGATGCTAAAAATCAAGTTTGTAATCATGCGTGGGCAGTTAAAAACTGTGGTGAGAATAATGTCAATGATGTAAATGAAATTAAAACAACAACTCATAAGGGATTTGAAAATATGACATCAACTGCTGCAACCACGACCATTGGTACTACTACCATATCTAGTACTACTAATCAGACTGAACACCAATCCATAGATAACACTTTATGTCAATCTAATGGCTTTATAGGGGATAACATTAACTGCAAAAAATTTTACAGATGTGTTGATGATGGTAACGGTGGATATACTAAGTATGAATTTACATGTGGTGAAGGTACTGTATGGGATCCTGAAATTAAAGCTTGTAATCACGCCTGGTCAGTACAAAATTGTAGTAGCAGTGGCACTAACAAATACCCAGAAACAACTACTCAGACTCTTGATATTACAAATAGTCAAGATTCTGACAACCCTTCCACACAAAAAGATGAATATACGGAAAAACCAAAACAAACTACTATTTCAAGTATAACTTCTAGCCCAATTAGTGATATAGAAACAAACATAAAATGTAATGTCAATGGATTTTTTGGTGATAAAAAAGACTGTAAAAAGTTTTATAGATGTGTAGAAGATGGGCGAGGGGGCTTCATCCAATATGAGTTTACTTGCAGCGATGGGACTGTTTGGGATCAAAGTATAGAATCTTGCAATCATGAATGGGTGGCTAAAAACTGCACGCATTCAGAAAGTTACAATAATATCACTACACCCACATTTACAGAATTCAGTAATGAAGGTCAACAATCTACAGAGGCGACCACTTCTACTAGTTTAACTAGCCAACCGTCAAGTGAAACTTGTGAAAAAGAAGGCTTTTATGGAGATGAATCTAATTGCAAAAAATTCTATCGATGCGTTAAAAATGGCCAAGGCGGGTATACGAAGTATGAGTTTGTTTGTGGAGATGGTACTACTTGGAATCCAGAAATACAAGGATGCGACCATGAGTCATCTGATAAATCTTGTAAACCACCAATTTCTACATCATCAACAAAGAAACCAGATAGTGACAACGATGAATTAAATATAACTTCTTTCTCCAATGGTACAACACTAACGCCAAGTGAGCTTTACACTGAGCCCGGAAAAGAAGAATCATCCGAAGATAATTGTAAAAGTGAAGGGTTTTATGGTGATTCACAAAATTGTAAGAAATTTTATCGTTGTGTAGATAATGGCAAAAACGGTTACACAAAATATGAGTTCACTTGCGGAGAAGGAACAATTTGGGTTCAGGAAATACAAGCTTGTGATCATGATAACGATGTTGAAAGTTGTGGTAGTTCACATTCTACATTTAAGCCACAGGCAACAACAGATAAAGTTCAATCAACAACACAAATTACACCACAAAGCACAGTTAAAGAAAATGGTGACCATTCGTATGAAACCTCTACTAAACCAACTTCTGTTCAATGTACTTCAGAAGGTTTTTATGGAAACCAATACGATTGTACCAAATTTTATCGTTGTGTAGACAATGGTCAAGGAAGTTTAATAAGATATGATTTTGCATGTGGCGAAGGTACGGCGTGGGATCCTAATATTGGAACATGTAATCATATTAGTGAAGTTAAGAATTGTAAAAATTCAAATCAACAAGAAAATCATATAATGCACGAAGAAGAAGTATTACAGTCTACGGAATCAACTAGTACCACCAAAGGTAGTACTTCTTCCAGTGAAAGCTTTAACTTGAATAATAATGTTTGTAAACAAGAAGGATACTTTGGTGATACCGAAGATTGCTCTAAATTTTATAGATGTGTAGACGATGGTAAAGGTGGATATACAAAATATAATTTTGATTGTGGCGAAGGCACTATCTGGGATCAAGATATTACAACATGTAATCATCCTCAAGACGTAAATAATCCGTCTTGTAAGAATAATGGTGAAGGAACATCATCATCAGAAAGTACTTCGATAAGTAGTTCTATATCACAAACAACTACTAATACGGAAAAGCAAAATACTTCTTCTTGTGAGCAAGAAAATACAAATAAAAACCCGGAGAGCCAAAAGATCAAATGTGAAAAAGCTGGATACTATGCAAACCCGGATGACTGTAAAAAATTTTACAGGTGTGTCGACTGGGACGGCAATGGTGAAAAATTTTCAGTTTTCCATTTTGAATGTGGAGAAGGCACAATATGGGATCCTCAACTTGACACATGTAATCATGAAGACTCTGTTTACCCACCACGAAACTGTAGTGGTCAAAGTGAAAATATGGGGCAAGAAACAACTACAACTGAACAAATGACCAGTGAGAGTACTACTCAACAAGCAACACTTGGTGAACAAACAACACAACAACCCAATTCTAGTGAACAGACAACAACTCAACATTCGACATCTACTAGTACTCAACAAACAACTACTGAACAATCTACCAATCAACAAACTAATACCGAACAGACCACTACTGAAAAGACAACCACTAAACAGACTACAACTGAACAAACAACCACTGAACTGACTACTACTGAACAGACAACTACTAAACAGACTACCACTGAACAGACGACCACTGAACAGACCACCACTGAACAGATCACTACTGAACAGGCCACTACTGAACAGGCCACTACTGAACAGGCCACCACTGAACAAACCACCACTGAACAAACCACCACTGAACAAACAACCGCAGAGCAAACGACCACTGAAAGCACTACGACCGAACAAACTCAAAAAACCACAACAGAACAGCAGACTACTACCGAACAAACTACCTCTACAACTGAACAAAATACAGAATATCAAAGCACTACCTCTGCCAGTAACACGGCAGCTACAGAAAATGATAGTACTACTACTACCGAAAGTGACCAAGGAACAACGACAGAAGAACCTTCAAATAAAGAATGTCCTGATACTGATGACGATCAGTATTTGTATGTTTGTCCAACGTCATTTAGAAGACATCCTAAATATTGCAATATGTTTTATCAATGTACAGAAGATGACAATAACGGAATGAAAATAGCGACATTCACGTGTCCAAACAATACTATTTATGATGAAAGCAAAATACAGTGTGTTGAAGAGAATAAGGCTGATAAAAAATGTAACGGGCAGATAGCGCGAAAGTATAGATTAAAGCGTTTCAATTCATACTCAAAAGATCCGGTAAGATAATTTGTATAATTTTATATGTTTATGAATTACATTTATTTTTATAAAACAAGATATACATTGAAAAATTTTATTATAATGGGCTTGCGTTGATTTGTCACATTAGTATGAGTAAATGAATAAGAACGAATACTTTAATTTCTTTATTAAAATTTAATGTTTCCTCAAGAAAGATTAAAATATCTTACATTTTTAAGGAACCTTCATAATTATCGTTATGCGTATTCTGAGAAGTGTGGATTTAGTTTCGTGATCATAAAAAAATCACACAATTATTATTTGCTTACAGTGTTTCAATGTTTACATGAAATTGGTTGTTTGCAGATTCAAGTGGACAGAGATAAACACCCATGCCCTAATAATGGATATCATCCTTTTGAGAAGAAGAATGAATGTTCCTTAGTATTTTTGAAGTGTTCACAAACCAAATCAGGAAAATTACGAGGGTACGTTTACCAGTGTCCAGAAGGTTATGTGTATTGGTCAATTAGCAAAAGATGCGAAAAAAGAGAAAGCATGAAATATTGCCAAGAATCATCAAGTAGAAACTGGAGTAATAGATGGGAGCTACCAATTGAAAGAAAAAATATAGCTAAGTAATGAGTTTGAATGTAATTTAGATGATAAAAGACATCATATTTAGTAGCTAACTACCATTGTATGAATGTAATACATTTTATGTATATAATCGAGACATTACAATAACAAACAAATGAAACAATACAAGTACAAACCGATGATATTTGAAAATTATAAAAGGATATGTATAAAATACATACGATGGAAGAAAATTATTTAACATATTCAGATCTCGAAAAATGAAATATTTAAATGTAAGTTTAGGTGCAATTAAGGGAACCTGTATATTCCTAATAAACCTCGACACTATGTCGCCGAACTAAAATTGATATTACTAGAAACTCGAACACCGAGTCGAGTAGACCATTGTGGAACTCATAATATTTTATATGTTGTACGATATTGATGGGTAGTCTTCAATAATTGCGACCGTCAGTTCTTAACCAGAGCAAATTACTTCTGTTCACAAGAAAAAAACAAAGCAATGCAGTATATTATATTTCATGACATGACATGATTTTAAGGTTTTTAATCATAACTAATTTCTAAGTAGTAACAGAATAACTAAATGTAGCAAAATGTGATGTCCGTTACTTCCAGTGGATTTTAAAATGCATATTTATTTAAAAATAATAAACTAAAAATACCAATGACAACATACAATAAAAATTTCTTGTCATCTAGTCTAATAATTTTATCTGTGACAATACTTTTGCTGCCATAATTTTAAGGAGTGACCAACGAAAAATTTACTCTAAAACTTGTGACCAAAATGTTGTTTACTTATAACTAAATAACGATGTGCCTAGTAAACAATATTTTTAGCACGATTTAATTAGTGTTATTATGTAGTGAGTATAAAAATAAAATCACATTTCAATTTGTACCGATTTTTTATTTTATTTTCCCACTGTAATATGTAATAAAAATATTAAGAATACAAAAATTTATCAAAATATTTAACAAGCATGCGTTACTTAAACGAAGTTGAAGTATAGAATGTTTAAATAAAGAAATTTAAAATTCACAGCAAAATTACATCGATACCATTACATGATGACAATACTCCTTTACAAAATATTGAAAGTTCGTTTATAATGAAGTTTGTTAACGATTCTTGGTTATGCGCTAAATCACTAAAAATTGTTCCTAAAAAAGCATGACATGGAATAACAGATGCAATTAATTTTCCATTCAAGTCAATCGTGAACGGACTCGTAATATTAATTTGATTGGTTTCAACAGTGTGTTGATTGGAATAGTCATTTGTGAAATTAGCTGAAACAATTTCTGGATTTAAGTTATCACTTTTATTGTTGTTTTGTGAGGTTTTATTTTTCTTTTCATTTAAAGGTAAAACATGTTTCCGTTTTCTAGATTTCGTAAACGGTTCTTCTTTGTGAGAATATACAATTTCCGAAGATGGCTTGTTTTTAAACAAAAAGTCCAAGAACATGGGCAAAAGTGCAAAGCTATTTGAATCGTTAGTTAAAGATGTTTGAATTATATGTTGGTCATGGCTTGGTGACGAAAATTTGACTTCTTCTTTTATATTTGGTATTTTGTTAATAGTTGGATGGATCTGCGTTGTGCTTACGACATTAGTATCGGAATCCTTCAAAATTTCATTTTTACGTTTATTTTCATTCAACTGTTTTAACGTACCTTGAAAACTGTTTGTTATAACTATTTCTTTTTTATTTTCTGCTTCTTCTAGACTTTGTTCAGTTGACGACCACCCATCGCTCTCCTTTTCCAAAGCATCTATAATATCACGAATGTTATTTACCTTTTTCTTAGGACTATCGTGTGATTTTTTTATGCTTTTTATATTCTTAGAACATTTTTTTGGAATATGATGATAATCTCGAAGAATATTTTGTAATTTCTCGATATAAACAGCATGCGGTGACAGAGGAGTGAGAATCACGGGATCAAAAGCTATACCGCCTTTATCCCAAATTGATACAGCTCGAGTCAAAAATTCTATAAATTGATATGGCAAATGTCTCCAATGTTTTCGAAGTGGTGTGTTTTCCATATATTTTGAGAGTGTTATATGTTGAATGTTAATGTTATTCTTCACAGATTGGGGTACTGGCTTTTTCGTCCATAATAAATTAAGGGCATTTTCATTATTTTCCTCGGCGCTTATAATATTGGCTTCCACATTTGTGTCGTTTGTTATAATAAGTATTTTATAATAATAATCAGAATATTTATTAGCAATTGTTTCTATGTAAGGCGTATAACTGCTAAGATCTATTTCGTTGTTCTGCTCAACGAAGAAATGCATAAAAACATTAAGAGGTTCTTGATTTTCTTTTGCGATGGTGGTATCTTTTTCATTATTTCTAAGACGTGTTGTAATTTCTTTGAAGTGTTCTGATGGTAATAGTGCAAACACTGATACACTGTTATATATAATTAATGTCACTAAAGCTATCATGCCTAGTCCGATCCACCAATATGCAAGGGAAGAAGACCAGTGATCTGAAAATGAAAATTTGCAGGCATGAACCATTTCACCTTGGCATTATCATGTTAGGCTTTGAGCAAAAGATATGTAAACACTTCATGCAAATTTAAAATTTATGCATTTCGCAGAAATAAAGCATTACGTAATAAACTTTAATATTTTTAAGGAAAATAAAATAACAAACAAACTCAGAAATGTTTTATAACATTATAGTCCTATAATATTTTTCGAGATACGTGTGTATTGTGCATTTAATTTATTGAATGATTTTTATGTTCACAAAATAAATAAAAAAACGTATTTCTTTTTTAACAAAATATGATATTAAACTATGATATTTATCGATATTGATTTCATTTAATGCAGTTTATCGAAATGGAAACTGCGGCTGGTGATTATGCTCCTTATATATTATTATTTAGGAGTCTTTTGCAATGGGATACGTCGTTGTTCTAGTGGATGGCATAAAATTACAGCTAATAAAAAATGTTACACAAAAGACCAGAATCAGAATAATTTATATATCAAGAGCATTATTTATTTAAATATGCTCCCTGAAATAAATTATTTTTTAATAATTCCTTCGGTTGATTATAATTGAATTAAAGTAAGTATAGAGAACTATCTTCAGATTTGGTATCTGCGTAGTCTTTCTGCTACATTTGCAGTCGTAAACACCTACCAATCCACACTGGGTAGGCGGGTTATGGACAATTTCCCCTGTTTAAGATCCCATTCATAAAGAAAGGATGTACCTCAGTAGTAGTGGCTAATAGAATAGTTTTAATGGCCTCTCTATCCGCGATGGGGATCAAGCAACGGTCCAATTTTTTGCTTTCAGATCAACATTAAATTGAATTGGGTACATAAAAAACTTAGGAAATGAATGTATCTGAACATATGTTGATTTTTAATGTAATAATAATAGTTACCAAGGTTAATAATAAGACTTGTACCTTTGACCTGTTTTTCAATAATGTCTAGCTCATAAAATTAATTAATAATAACAATGAACCTAGATGTACGTAAAATTGATACATATTCTACATACCTGGCCAAAGCTTGAAGATGGCCGCTGCACCTCTTATTTTATTTTTAGAATAACCTCGATACACCATAGACCGCTGTCGCGCCTTAAGGCGAGGGCTCAGCTGTTCTTCTTCCGATAGTTCCTCATACAAAAGTGGATGCTGTTCACAACGTGGATTACTCATTCCTGTCCATTGGATTTCTTAAAATAACGCACATACTTTTTTATTTAATTTCTAGAGTCCCTTTTTTCACAACGCTGCAAAATTTACCATCCGTAGTTGACTTATGACAACAATGTGACATTTATGACAAAATGCAAAATAAATAAATGAAAATAAATATAGAAATTGAAAAGTTCACTTCTTATGGTCACAGATAATCTAGTTTTTACATTTTTTTGTTTCATTACAATCTAATAAATAAATTTTTGAATTAGCTTACGTCGTCTATCCTTAACGTTAACTTACTTTTTTTTAAGGCCATATTATTATTAGTTTATAACCTTAATTTATTTTTAGATTTTCTAGAAGCCTTATTTATTAAATATATAATTTTTAATAAATAAGGCTAATCTGTTCACTTTAGTAAACCTACAAATAGATACTGAAGTTTGTATCATAAAATATTTAATGACATTAACCATGAATACATGTGCACGATAAATAATGACACGACTAGGTATATCATTGTAGGTTTTTAACAATATCTAAAATTTCCAATCACATAATTCAAAATAAGGAAATTAAAAAGTTAACTATGACTTATATTCTCTAAAAATACACATATAAAAATAATTTTAGATAGAAAAATACCCTCTAACTAGCGCTTGTAAATTTTAAATAGGAAATTCTGTTTACTTATAAAAGAACTTGTCTGACTGATTCATTATCGTTTTTGCCAGTGGCTTCGCGGTCCCCTGGGGAACTGTTGACTGGATAAAAAGTAGCCTATATGTGAATTCAGGCTTATAATTATATGTATTGCCAAATTTCATCCATATCCGTTCTGAAGTTTTTGTATGAAAGGTCATGCCTTTGGTCATATGAATTACATTGTAAAGACTCACTAAGAAAGCATATTCAAAAATTCAAGGTCGATGTTTGTATAAAACATAAAATGATTTGTATTTTAACAATATCAAATCAGTTAGTACCCGTTTAAGCGTTTGAAGAAATTCTATCACTAAAGATGTGAAGTAAGAGTCGTTTGGAGTTTAGTATGCAATATGAAATTTTAACACTTATAATTATTATTATGATGTAGAGACAGAATTCAGAAACGGCCGGTTTCTGAATTGAGAAAAGCACAATATCTCAACTGATTATTCTCAATTCAGAAACCGGGTGAATGTGGTTAAACAGTGATTAGAATATCATCGTAATCCATGCGAACAAAGCCCTTGGCAAAAAGTTAGTATTATGCATACTAATAAATACTATAAAGAGGAATGATTTAATTGTTTGTCTGTTTGCAACGTATAGGCTCCAAAATCACTGGACCGATTTTAAAAATTCCTTCACTTACAGCAGAATCCATCACACGCGGGCGACATAGACTATAATTTATGCAGGTGAAGTCGCGGAAATCATATATACATATAATTAAAAGTATATGGTATTGTGAAAAGGGTAGATAGGTCATGTTAGTACTATACGACATCAAAAATAGGCCGCAGCATACACACGCACATGGCACAATAATCTTCAATTACTCATTGCCGAACATGTCACAGACCAGACGTATAATGATTCAAATACATGTTTAAATCCTACTTCGTCGTTCGTTTAAGTAAAAACGAGTTAAAAGCTTTGATCAACAGTTCAACTTAAAAACGTTGATGTCTAACTTCATTATTTGTCCTTGTCGTTAGTGTATATAATATTTGTCCGTCTATAAATAATACAGTAGCTCGGTGGCGTAGTGGATTAGCGCCGCGGCCCGTGATCGTAGTCGTTAAGCAACTTTCGCAAGGGTCGGTCACGGGATGGGTGACCAAAAAATTATTATCTCGAGCTACTCCGTGCTTCGGAAGGCACGTTAAGTCGTTGGTCCCGGCTGCATTTGCAGTCGTTAATACCCTCCAATCCGCATTGGGCCAGCGTGGAGGGTCATGGCCCATCCTCCTTAACCATCCATAAGGAAGGCCTGAGCCCCTGCAGTGGGGACGTAAAAGGGCTGATGATGATGATGATGATGAAATAATACAGCTTTTCAAGCGATAAATAAAACACGAGCACGTTATTTTTTTTAGCTCCGGAGTTAGGTTTCGATGCTCCGAATTCAAACCCCAGAGTTTTAGAGTTTCAGTCTCATATATATTTTCAATTAGGCTTAGGCACTAAAGTCTAATTGTCCGTTTTGTTACTTACATAATCTTTTTCACAATTTGTAACCGGAGTATTTACTCTTTCTTTTTATGACACATTATTTATTTTTCTTATTAAAACACAAAAAATGTATACCTATTTACGAATGTAATGTAACTCCTTGGTCTTTAGATTACCTACTTATGTTTTTTCTACAGTTTTGCATAACATTTAAAATGATGATTGTTGATTGTGTGCGTTTATGTACTATAATAGTACATAAACGCACACAATCAACGCTTTCGCCAGAGGCGGTCAGGTATGTTAATTAGCATAGTTTTAATGTGACACTTTTTGAATTCAAGTAACCTCTCTATTTTTTATTGTAATTGTAATATCATTGTCTATGACTCACAATCACTGGGCGCATTGGTGGGTTTTGACTTCAGCCCTGCGATTCTGAAAAAATCCAAACCCGAATGAATTCACTCATGTGTCCGAATTAAAGTTATTTAGTGTATAAATTCTATTTATTCCATTTTTGTATAAAGATACAAAATAAAATTGCTTCACTTATACTACGAAACGTTATTACCAATTCAAGATTGGGCGAATGTTGCTATCTGTAGTAAATTCGGACATCTGAGTGTATTCGAATTCGGGTTTGTACTTTTACAGAATCGCAGGGCTGAAGCTACAGCTAAGACCAACAGCGTAACATACCTTCCGAAACACGGATGAAATCAAGTTAATACATTTTCGGTGACCCTATGTTGTGTGTATTCTATGACTTCTCTGACCAAAATGCTATACTTAATCATAAAATAATAGATTATATAAAATCTCACCTTCGCTGTTATTCCATTTCATTTGTTAATTGTCAATGTAAGTGTTTCTTTTTGGCACATAAATATAATTACTCTTTTTATTCAATTTAAAACTTAGCTAAAATGCACAAATACGATCAACTGCATGTATTTCGCGTAAGAAATTAATAATAACGTATCACGTTTTCTTGACGCATTGATTTAGTTATTTCAACATGAGATTTGTCTCACGTACTGACGTGATCGTTTTGAGTTATTGTCAAATAATACTAAGTTAGCATTACTTAGTGTGTCAAGGTACAAAATATGAGATATAAGGGAAACCCGGGAAATAGGCATTATAGGGTCTAATTTTATATTTTATTTGTCCAATGGCACATTTATTTAAGTATAATTTATGATATTAAATTCTTTCGTAAAACGTTTGAATTTGGTTCATCGATCTAATATTACTGTTGTGTGCAAAACGCTTATGGGCAAGACGGACAAAGAAAATTCAGTCAACGAAAAAACTAAAATATCTGAATAAGCCAGTTCTAGCAAAAGTAAGAGGAGTGCTCAGAAATACACTGTACCGCCAAGTTAAGATTAGATTCAGTATAGTCAATGCAAGAATTAGGTACATGAAAATTGTACATCATATTTAGTTACTTTTTTGATGGGTGCCAAGATTAACTATATTATTTTTGAGTGATCCTTTTTGCTCCAGTAACATATTCGTCTTGTCCGACCTCTGCAGACAAAAAGGATAATAGGTACTTTTTATTTTAATATAAGAAATCGTTTAAATTTTTTTTATATCTATTTCCAAAGTTTTGAAACAAAGTGCAAATTTAAAATAAATAGATTTATGTTGACTACATATGTCTATTTTATTTTATGACATTTATAAATATAGGTAATTTTGCCGGGTGTCCCCTAAGCACAAATGTAGGTTATAAGTATAAAAATTATAAATCCACATTAAAAAAAATGTTTTAAGTAAGTAAATATTTAAGTCTTGACCTTTGATAATATAATACTATTAATATCTCTATCAATTAATAATTCGATTCTAGATCGTGAATTGTAATATTTGGGGGCACGGAAGTTCCTCCACCAAGTCGAGCACAAAATTAAATAGGGCACGGCCGTACCATCCTTTTCTCGAAGCCACTCGGGCTATTTTTGACACTCTGTAACTTCGTTGAGGAGTAAGATAGAAGACTAAATTTTCAGTGACTAAGAGGCATTACATAATAAGGCACATTTCTAAATTACATTAGATTTGAATGAGTACTTTAAGAATTATTGCAGATCAAAATACCTAGATTTTGTGATTGAGTGATTCATAGATCATATAAATTCTAAGATACTTCTAGAAGACCCACAGGCTCCTTAAAAGCACTTAAGTGATTTTTAGCTATGTGCTTTTGTTAAGTATTCTTTAATCTACGAAAAGGTTGGATAGCTGTTCTCACAGAAAGAAAGGTGCGGAATTAACGACTTGGTTTACTTTGATTTCATAATTTTTTACGGCATAAAAATTCTGATGTAAGACTTGTGCATTTTTGTACATGTTATGTTTTTGATGGGATACTATATATTTTTACCTGAATTCGTTGTGATGTGAAGTAGTGATAGTTGCCTTAAGTTAACTCTTTAGTTTTTTTTAACCCGTCAAGTCTCGTCATAAAACAATCGGTGGGTAGCATCAAGTAAACGCGGTAAATTATCGATATTTGCTTCAATCACGTCGACTTGATCGGCTTCGGGACTAATAACATTATAAGATTCGGTATGTGGCGCCTTGCGTTAGGCATTTCCATAATATGACAGGTCACAATGTGTAAAGAAATATAATAGAAAATAATATTTATTATATTTGGAATTAAAGTAATTTATTAAGGCAATTCGTAAGATTAAGTGTTACCTGATTGTCCAGGAAGTAGTCTTCGGGCTGTTCCCGAGCATCGCCTTCATGGAGAGGGACATCACTGAGTTTTAGTGGGTATGCCCCCTGCCATTTGACTATACTCAAACTAATTAATTCATTTTAACAATACAGGAAAAGTCTTGGATTACAGCTAACTTGCTAAAAACCTATTTATTACTTTTCAGCATAAGAGTACCTACGTACATGTGGTACGAATACAATAGCGCATGAGTCACTTAAACTGTAACGTAGACGAAGGCATGAAGCATAATTTTAAACAATGTTTTATCGTGACCTAGTTTATGACAGTCGGAACATCGAGTGATTATAATTTCGTTTTGAGATTTGGTATCGCTTTGTGGTTTGAATCTTTGAATATTTTCAAAATACAATTTAAAAATGTTAGAACTTTTTTAACTGATTGATATAGTATATATTGAGTAGCTCGGTGGCGTAAATTTTGAATGATCAAGTGACATAAATAAAAACTTGGTAATTTAAAGTAATATTTACCTACTACCTAGTACTAGGTACTACCTCTAAGAACTACCGTGCGATCTTAGAGATAAATTTGTAGAAAAAAATATTAAATACGAATTAAAAAAATATTTTCTTTCTTAGAATAGTACCATAATCAAGCGTTTGCTGAGTTGTCAAAAAATGTAATAAATTTGAATCTACTTAATTTGTATATGTGATTGAAGTAATTAAAATAATTGTAATTAATATATTAAAACAAATATTAATCTGTGTTATGTAATGTCATATAGTTATTTAAGTTTTTGTAATGTAATTTATATAAATTCTTGCATGTGTTACGAACCTTAGTGGTTTATATGATGCAAGTACACCAACTTATGTAAACCATAAAGTTTGTTGATAATTAAATAAAAAATAAAAAAAAACCTACGTATAACGCGTGCTATAGACAATTCCAATTAACGTTAAATTAGCGATATTCAATATGTTAAAAAAAGTCACAATTGAAATCTCTATTTCATGTCAAATAGTTGTAGCGTGAATAATAACCATTAATGATGCCTGGGTAAAAAAACTGAAATTCTATAGCTATCAGTCAGATACTAGAAAAACTATTAGATACGTATTTTTTACTTTAATTTAAAAATATATCGCTTAAACAATAGGCATTAGACAACTCTAATCCCCCACTTCTCAACAGAAGTGGGGGTTTGCTACGTCACAACTCTGTACTCAAAGGTGTGTTATGCGACATTTCAACTTCAACTTAATGTATTGCAGTAATTTATTAATAATGTAAAATATAAAAAATTGGTGTTTAAATATACCTTCAAAAATCTATCTGACGGAAAAATATAAAAAAAAAATTATACATTTAAAAATATCAATCTGAATTGGTAAATATCAACACCCTTGCTTATGATTTAACTACTATTGTTATGTCAATTTTGTTTTTTTTTTGTGCAATAAAGTGTATTGATTGGTATTAAAATTAGTTATTTGGGACAAAAAGATACAAAATGTAACACAATCACGTAAACAAGGAAAGTTTTTCTTCCAAAGGGTTCCAGCTCAGCTTAAAAAAATATGATATAATATAATAAGATGAGGCCTCGTTACCCTAGAATTTTATAATGGAATAGATAAAAAATCTATGAATAAATTTACGAGGAGTTTTTAGTTGATCAATAAAAAAAAAATTTAAAAATTATCTGACGTTTCAAAATTGGAATATCAAAATAATTATACGGCAAATCGAAACCACAAAAACCAAATAGTGACAGTTGTTTATAATTTTTCAAGTATCTGTATTCTTTTAAATGGAAAACGGTGGAAAAGGGTATGTAGACGTTTTTTAATTAAAATGTAGAGGAAAAAATATTTTATATATATATATATTTAATTTGGATCAAATACATTACCTTTTTTTAGCCTATGATGACGTTAAAATTCTATGATTCTAATGTTATCGTAAAAAATGAATATGTACAAAATGACATAGTAAATAAGTATATATATCCAGCGCCAGCGGTCTCGCCTGCGTGTTCCCTAGGGAACTGATTATTTGGATATCGATTCATATTATGACACGGATATAATCAAAATGAAAAATTGAATAGTAAACAATCGTTAATATGGTAACGTTTTAATTCCCAATACAAACTTTTACTCCCTTTTTCATCCCTTAATTTGTAGTTTTTCAGGATAAAATATTGCCTATGTACGCTGCATATGATGTAGTTACACGTAGGCGATTTTTTTTTTAAATCAGACTAGTAGTTTCGGAGCCTGTTCGAATCCTTCCTCTTTATGATATTAGTATAGATAATGTTTAAGGCTCGACAACATTTAACAAATAATTGTGTTTTTAGAATCATAATATAATGGTGGATTCTTCGCCACTGAAAAGCGACGAGCAATACCCTTTATTGAAAGTGGAGACTGGCGGCGGGGGAGACAGCGGGCGTTCCCAACCATCTGTGGTAACACCCGGGTGGCATGTGGCAGGATCTCCAAAAAGATCATGGCTGGATCGTTGGCCAGGTTAGCTTGGAACCACTTTAACCTTTAAAAAAAATTGCGGGAAATTCGGCACAGTCTAAATAAAAAAATCTAAATTGTTTATTCAGTTTAGGCTTTTACAGAGATCTTGTGAAAGTTAAAAACTACGCCATCGGTTCGCAAAACTACGGCGGGAGACCTTGTACTGAGAAGAACCGGCAAGAAACTCAGCAAGGACTGCTTTTTTCTCCCTGTTTTATTTCACACAGAGAAGTCATATTGAAAAGTGACTTCACTAGAATATGAAGTCAGATTCCATTACAATATTAGAAATAAGAGAGATATTTCCGATAAATGATTAACAGTTAAAGTTTATCCCACCAATTTAGTATTATTAATTGTAAATCATTAACAATTTCAAAATTAAGGCAGATTTTTTCAGGAATTAAAATTTTGTGTTTAATTTATAACAATTAAAGAGTGCTGCAAAGAATTATTTGTTCAAAAATAAAAATAAAACTGTCTACAAATGTTATGCGTATAACTTATGCGCTTCACATATCGAAGTGATCCGATCACATATTTTAATAAAAAGGGAGAAATTATTAGATAGTTAACTACCCCTAATCCATCTCATACATCTTCATATATAAATTGCAATCTTTTTTTTTTTCAGAACTCATATCAGCATTTTGGATGTCCGGTATGCTTTTAGGCATATTTTGCCTGATGTTATATGGACTCGGACTTGGCGTTATAAAACGGCAGCCCGTTTTGATGCTGCATTGCAAAACACCTAAGCCTGGAAGTGATGTTTATTATCATCATATCTTTCAGCATGGCAGTCCTGTTCCATTTAGTAAATTTTCCGAATATTTATCTTACATGGCATCATTGTATTCCTCATTACACTTCAATGTTATTTTTTTGATGGACGACACATATCCAAGTGATTATCGTGGTAGACATTCAAGATTTCTTAATAAATTTATGCCAAATCATTTTAAAATAGGAGAACACATTGACGAGAACAACCAAAAAGAATTCAAAGATTTTCATACAAGACACCAAAATGTCAACATAACAGTAACCACTTTGAGTAAATATATGGCCATGACACCTTTAAAATACAAATGGAGAGCTATCCCAATAGGGTATTTAACTTTTTATGCAAGAGCTTTCTCCGTATGGCGTAGTGGAGGAATTGGAATAGATTTGGAGACATTTAGTAGCCAATTTAATCGTCGTCAACTTCCAGACAGAAGAATCAGTGAAATCTTTAAACAACACAACAACGGCATCAAACCAGATGAGTACACAAATAGTCTAAATAACATTGACCGTGAAGAACAAAACGAATTCGCTTCTCTATTTTATGGTATAATTCACCAGATATTAAACGAAACTCGAGCACTATTAAACCGTACTCTACATTATTCTGAAGCCTCTATAGAAAAAGATCAGACATTTGTGGAACCATTGGTTCGTACTCATAGAAATAAACGTGAACTAAACAGAAGTGAATCTCAGTCTGATAACAATGCCATTAAAAATAATTTTACTACTGAAATAGCAAAAGTAGTGAATACAACTAACCCGATTCTAATAAATGTTACGTTCGGAAACATTCGTGTAACAGCTAATAATTCTAACATATCCAGTGCAATTGAATCCGTTGTTCCCATAACAAAGCAGATTGATGGAAATGGGAATCAGAAAACATCGCGAAATAATTTTAAATATATTCGCAAAAATATGTCTGAATCTCCACAAATACTATTCTTGTATGATTTTTCACTTTTTTCTGATAGTAATTTGGGACCTTCATATCTTCTGCCAGAACCAATGATACAAGCTAATTTTCCAGTGACGCTTAATTTTACAGAACACGAGTCTACTCCTGATAATAATTCGAAACTATCGCCATATATCCTATCAATAAACATAGAAGGCACTTTTGTTGCTGCTTCGTTGAAACAACATCCTTTCTTAGGGCATATTATCTCGGCAAGATGCCAGAGAATGCCACCAAGATTTGTCATACAAGACGCCATGACTTCACAATGTTCAAATATGCTTAGGGATGATTTCTATTGTAGCAACATTTACTTACTTTATTAACTTACTTTGTATTTTAGTGTATTCAATGTTTATCTTCATATATGTGCTTAGGATAAAATTTAAATTTTACGTTATAAAATAATATATTATGTTTTTTATAGTTTGTTTGTTTTTCTTAGAGCTAACTAATCCCTTAGCTTTCCTATTCTCTCTTAATGAAAACAGGAAATATGTTAAACTGCTATAATAAACATGTTAACTATTTGTATCATAACTACAGATGGGAAATATATAAAAAATGCTCGTGTGGGTTGCTGAGCCACTTCAGGTTTTTAAAGGAAATATGAACCATTTTAACTTCTCATAAAATTTATTTTATTAAAGTTTTATATGTTAAAATTGTTAATATTTTTCTAATATATAACAGAAACCTGTATTTTTGCAAGACACAACTCTGATCAACCTACAAAATTATTTGGTTTCCATGGATTTCCTACAAATAAGAGGTTCATTTCTTATCAAAATCTGGATAGTCTCTTAACCTGCAATTGGAAAATATTACGCTTCCTGTGACGTCACTTAGTGTATCATAACTACAGATGGGAAATATATAAAAAATGCTCGTGTGGGTTGCTGAGCCACTTCAGGTTTTTAAAGGAAATACGAACCATTTTAACTTCTCATAAAATTTATTTTATTAAAGTTTTATATGTTAAAATTATAGATTGTTAATATTTTTCTAATATATAACAGAAACCTCTATTTTTGTAAGACACAACTCTAATCAACCTACAAAATTATTTGGTTTCCATGGATTTCCTACAAATAAGAGGTACATTTCTTATCAAAATCTGGATAGGCTCCTAACCTGCAATTGGAAAATATTACGCGTCCTGTGACTTCACTTAGTGGCTAATTTGTAAGGAGCGTTTTCTGCCGACTAACAGCAATACCATCACAAACATTGCCCCTATTCCACATATCCCTATTGACTACTCCCCACTGGTAGGGATACTAGGATATTTTTTCCAATAATAGCTACCGGTAGGGATATATGGAATTTGTTACTCCACATATCTCCACCGATTTGCACTGGTTGGGATACTTGAATTTTTATTTCCATTTATCGCTACTAGTAGACGTGTATCTGGACTGAGTGATTCTTTTTCAGTTTTCTTCAAAACTAAAACATGCATTTGATCAAAATTTGTCAAAACTCATAAACGAAATAAAAAAAATCGTCATTCTTTAGCGATCGAGGTTATTGCCCAATATGTGGATCACTCATTTCAGACATTAGACAAAATGGCTACAAGCCGAATCTCAGGAAATATTAACATCATCAGCCGGAAGACGTTCACTATTGAACGTAGGCCTCCCCCTTTGAACGCCACGACGGACGACATTGCGCCAGCTGCATCCAGCGGCCGCACGCGACTCGGACGATGTCGTCCGTCCATCTAGTCGGGGATCGACCCACGCTGCGTCTTTCGGTTCATGGTCTCCACTCGAGAGCCTTTCGTCCCCATCGGTTATCGGTTCGTCGAGTGTGTGGCCTGCTCACTGCCACTTCAGCTTACAAACTTTGCGAGCTATGTCGGTCACTCTAGTTCTTTGGCGAATATCCACATTTTGGATCCTATCGCACAAAGAAATCCCTAACATAGCTCTCTCCATGCCTTGCTGAGAGACTCTGAGCTTTTCTAAGAGGCCAGCAGTTAAGGACCACGTTTCAGTGCCATAGGTCATCACTGGCAACACACATTGGTTATACACCTTCGTCTTTAGGCACTGTGGTAATTTGGACGTGAAGACATCGCGTAGCTTCCCGAACGCTGCCCAGCCGAGTTGGATTCTTCGAGCGACCTCTTTGTCGTAATTGGATCTACCTAACTGGATCGTCTGTCCAAGGTACACGTAGTGATCGACAACTTCGAGAGTATCAGTTCCAATGACCACCGGTACGGGTGCAACATGGACATTCGACATGATTTTCGTCTTGTCCATGTCCATTTTAAGACCCACCTGTTTGGAAACGATACTCAGGTCGCTGATCATTGTACCGATGTGCTTCATAGATCTTGCCAAGATGACTATATCATCGGCGAAACGAAGGAATTTCAAGAGCTTGAAGACGTCCTCCAATGCATTCGTGAGTTTCGGAGAAATTACATCTCCCTGTCTCACGCCTCTGCGCAATTGGATTGGTTTCGTGCTCTCTTCCTGGTAGCGAATCGACATTGTGGCGTAGCTATACAAACTTTTCAACACTTCGACGTACCTGTAGTCGATTTGGCATCGCTGGCTGCAGTACTGCCCAGGTTTCGATTGAATCGAAGGCTTTCTCATAGTCCACAAACGCTAAGCAAAGTGGCAGATTATACTCCTCGGTCTTCTGTATAATCTGCAGCAGCGTATGTATGTAGTCTATGGTGCTAAAGCCTTTTCGGAAACCGGCTTGTTCGGGAGGCTGGAAGTCATCAAACCGGCGTTCGAGATGATTCGTAATGACCCTCGAAAACAGTTTATAAACGTGGCTCAGAAGCGAGATTGGTCTATAATTCTTCGACAAGGTCTTGTCACCTTTTTTGAAGAAGAGCACAACCACGCTTCTGTGCCATGCTTCTGGCGTCGTACCCTCGAGAATGACGGAATTGAGCAATTTCTAGAGGACTAAGAGTACTGGTTTTCCGACCGCTCGAAAAATTTTAGAAGTGATTCCATCATCCCCCGTTGCCTTGTTGTTCTTGAGCTGTTTGAGTGCCATTCTAATCTCGTACAGGCTGATGTCTGGGATAACCTCGGTGTAATGTCGGGTCAGCTTTGCTCTGGTGTCCTGAGCATTGCTTTCAACGGATTGTTGTGTTGATGTGTACAACTGTCCATAAAACCTCTCAAGCTCAATCAGAATCTCGGGTTTTGAAGATACGATCCTGCCGTCGTCGATCTTCAGCTTCGTCATCTGACTCGACCTAGCAGACAAATTTCGTGCAAGCACTTTGGAGCTTGGTTCCGCTCTATTGCCTCCCTAATACGTGTAGTACTATAGGAGCACAGATCGTGTCGCATCGATTTGGAAATTCGTCTGTTAAGTCGACCATATTCCGACATATCGGTTGAAGATTGCAGTCTCATATCCCACCGGTCCGCCATCAACTTGAGCGTTTCGTATGAGAGCTTTTGAGATTTAATACGGCGCGGGGCCTTATAGAACTTAGACCCTACAGCTTGGACTGTTTCTACAAACCCGTTGTTTATTTCGTCCACAGACTCGCATTCAGCTAGACACTGAAAGCGATTGTGTAGTTGGAGTTGGAAGGCTTCGGGGTCCACGATATGAGCAGCACTAGGACGGAGTGTAGACTTCATCAGACGTGACCTTTTGAGCTTAGCATTGATATTCAATGTGCCTCTAACGATTCGGTGATCGCTACCGGTTTTCACCCTGCTGATCACGGAGATATCATTGAATATGTGCTTTCTGGTTGTCATGATGAAGTCGATCTCATTTTTTGTCGAACCGTCAGGGCTCATCCAGGTCCACTTCCTGGAGGGTCTCTTCTGGAAGAAGGAGTTCATCGCAAAGAATCTCTCCTTCCCCATGAAATCGACTAGCTTCTGGCCCCGGTGGTTGCGCCGCCCATACCCAAATCGACCCACCCTCAACTCATCGCCGTTCGAAGCGCCCAGCTTCGCGTTAAAGTCGCCCATTACAACGGTGAAGTAGGTATTAGTCATACATCAGAAATCTCCTCATACATAGCCTCTACCTCATCGTCGGAGTGTGAAGAGGTCGGGGCGTAAACCTGTATGACCTTCAGCGAATACCTTTCGGTGATTCTGAGTATAAGATACGCCACTTTGCTCGACACACTATCGATCTTCACCACGTTGTTCACGAGGGACTTGTGGACGAGAAACCCAACACCACCTTGAGATTTTTGATCTCCTTCCCGGAAGAAGAGCATGTTACCGGACTCAAGGATTACCGTATCCTGGCCCTCTCTTCGGATTTCGGATAATCCCACTATGTCCCATCGCAACTTGCTCAATTCTTCCTCCAGCTCTAATAACTTCACGTCAGTCCACAGTATGCGGACATTGTATGTTGCCAGGGCCAGAGTCCGTTTGTGTTGGAAGCGCCGAATCTGCCGGGGATTCTTAGCACCCCCTGCCCCTCCGTTACCTGTCCCGCTACCAGAGACAGGAATAGAGGGGCTGCTGGGGACTGGGGGCCGTGCATCATTGTCGTCCATCATGGGGGAGGGGGGGTTGCCATAATCCCCACGCTTGGCAGGCGACTTGGGGATCGCAGTAGGTGGTGCTAGGTGATACTGGGAGGCGCTGCTGCCCGCCATCCGTATAATCCCTCTGTCGGCTCCTTCGACCCCCACGGGAGGATATGGGGGGGTGCTACTCATAGGCCGGCACCCCACGGCTAAAAAGCTTTGAAATATTAACACTGTGAATAAAATTTTATATCAAAAATTTGTACAGAATTTGTCACATCATTTTACAAAAAATCAAGACACTTCAATGTACATAAATCCAGGATTCTACGATAGTTTCAATAGATCATTTAGATTGAGTGATTCTAGAAATACGGTAAGATACTTACAAAATACATGATAACTTTTTTTTTTACTTGAAAGGATCTTTTCAATATATTTGTACAAATTAATTTCACACCACAAATGTTTAAAGTTAAAAAATTATGCCCAATCAAAGCTTTTTAAATTTACTGAATTGAGTGATCTGTTGATTTCGGTTATGAGTTTTGACAAATTTTGACTAAATGTACGTTTTGGTTTTGTTGAAAACTGAAAAAGGATCACTCAGTCTAGATGCTAATTAACAGTAGGGATAAGTTTTTTAACGTAAGGTATGACATATTTAGTGTTCATAAAATAAAACGTAAGTTATGAAAACGATTTTAAAACAAAGAATGTACGAGAAAGCACGTAAAGTGGAAAATGCTAATCAAAATTGCACAAAACTTATTTACTATTAAAAACATAACTTCATTAAACAAAACATTTGTACTCTTGTTGCATTGTACAAAACAATGTATTACATAGATGAACGCGCGTTTCCGAGTATCCACCTTAGGGTGGCTGTTTCAGGGTGGATAAACGGAATAAGCCAAACGAATTTCAGAATTGTATCAATCTAAGAGTGACTCAATTAAACACCTGATTTAAGGAGTCACATGAAACATGGAAAGTACCTGTTTATATAGAAAAATGGTGAGGATTTCGCGTCTTGTGATTTCTCATAGCTCTATTTGTTATATTTGATTATTAGTACAAGTACAAAAGAAAGCTTGTGGGTTATTGTATAAAAAGCTAAAGAAATATATTTAAATGTAATTACAAAAAACGTAGCTGTACTGTATCAACCATCATGTTTTATTGAAGTAGTTAATTTTACTAATATGCATTGCTTTTCAACGTTGTAATGTTGCATTGAATAAAATAGGTATGACTTCAAACTTAAAAAAAAAAGTAATAAATAATACTTTTCTGAAAAGCGACTTATTCAAGAAAATGATATTAAAGTCGGGCGGAGGTCTTCTGTAGATTATTAATTAAATTGCAACGGTTTATAATTTAAAAAATATTATAAATTTTGTTGACCGAAGATTAATAATAGATAAACGGCAACGGGATTATCAACTAGTCTTGCTCGAAGCTATTGTTCTCCGCACCGCAGGCGCAATTCAGTTGTCTGAAAGGCACACAACTATTTGGACGCGCTGTTTGTAAGACATTTCTACCGAAGGCAGCGTAACGTCAACATGTATGTAGTCTTTTAATATTGAGATTTTTCATTTGCGGCCGCTGCCGTCGTGAACGTAATATTATCTACTAATAATGTTGTTTTTTTTTAAGTAAATTAATTTGAAGCAATGTCCCCGTATTGGGCAAATGTTGAAAAATTTCTTACCAATTTAGCTGTTTTTTTTTTCTTCTAATTTTATATTGTGTTTCTCAGCAACATATTGTATTTTAATTTAATTTATTTATATTGACGAGCGTGTTTCTGTCCCATCTGAATACCTTGCAAATCATTATATTAACTAGTATAATCTAGAATGATCTTTTGTTTGGGGCATTTCAAAATACGTCTGTTCCATTACTGATCACTGCGATATTCGACCTGTTCCAGCTTCTTACCTCGCACCGCCTGAAGACCACTGATGTCGCAGCAAACCTGATGGCCGTGACATTTTTTTTTATTTCATTTAGAGTTCCTTCCACCCCTGGGCTTCGGACCCATCTTCTGACTCTGACACCCACACCGCTAGACCTCTTTGACCGTACATCTCGCCGGAGCACTATCAAGACGTGGCTGATCGAGACCTAGCTATTGCGAACGGTTAACTAGGGCCATATTAATTTGTACCTATCCTATATACTGAACCACGTTGCGAGTTTGCCGTTGAACTCTAACCCTCAGATCTCATGTCTCCTTATTTTTTGGGCAGTAAATTATAAAAATTGTTTATTATAAAATTAACTTGTTTTATTACCCATTACCTGTTAACGCATTTACGGGTTTTAAACCCATGAATAACAATAATCACTCTTTAAAAAAACGTTAAAAACGATGGACCGACTTCAATAGCAATTTTTTAATGTCGCTTTTGAGATAAGTATTATTTTTTACTTTTTTAAGATTGAAGCCGGTTATTTTTTTTCAAGAATATGAAAACCTGTGCATTATATTCATCATGTTTCATAGTAACATAAACTGCTTAAGATCTACACAATCAGTATGAAAGTAGAAATAAGTATGTAAGGTTTGTTTTCAAATCGTCCGGGTTCGATTCAGGACCTGAGAATTTCTTTGAAATCGATGACATGGTTCCTACCCAGATAGTATGCTAACTTGGGGCAAGTTTGATTTTTCTTTGATTATAAATTGCTGCGTCAAATATACGAGGCAAATTTGTGACAATTTCGCTGCAATATGTTATGTTAAATATGAAGTTTCAAGTTTGCGACAATATTGTTTGAAATTATTATGACAAAGATACTTATTTGTAACACACCCATCATCTTCATAGGTGCCCGAATAGTTATAAGTGTGCAAACTAGATGGGCTGTTCATAATGCATCGCGGTATCAGTTTATATTGTTAGATTGTATAAGTAATATGCCGTTTAATGTGATCTTAAACGATTCCGCTCTCAGCTCTCCTACCCAAACGCCGTAGGAAGTGTCGTAAGCCACGCTCCCCTAGAGCAAGTGCGGACGCTTCCTCGGACAACGTCACCCCCAAGCCCCGCACTTCGAGCGGGGTGTCCTCGGTAAGCAATACCACCGAGAAAACCTCCCTCGGCCCAAACCTTACCAGAGGTAATACCGGCAAGAAAGCCACTCGGAAGAATACTCCTAGTATTGCTCCCTCCCTCACCCCGCTGCGGCCGCATAATAAATGCGCTCCACAGCCGCGTAAACCCAAACCTCCGCCACCCGTATTCATACGGCTTATATAGTGGCTTATACTCCTTATAATATCATAGCGGACAAATCAAGGTAGGCAGAGCTCTCGAATCTCTGTACATCCAACAAGATAAACTACACCCATGCCAAAAACATGGGTTTAGCTATCCGGGTGGAAATACCCATTAGTGAGGACTATAGAGCCCTCACTAGACTTCTAACCCACCACAAGGTGGGTTACCTTACCTTCGCTCTCCCAGAGGAGCGTAAAATTCGTCCGGTTCTGAGAAATGTTCCGTACGAACTCGCCACCGATCTAATCCATAAGGATCTAAATGAACAAGGCTTCTCTGTGGAGACTGTTCATAAAATGCATAGTAGAGCCGGCAGGCCTTTCCCTCTGGCTCTACTCATCATTCCAAATGTCCCTAATGCTCGCGACATTTTCAAGGCTAAAGACCTTAGGGTCTGCGGCCTTACCGGGGTTAAAGTAGAACCGCTTCACTGACGTACCCCGGGACAGTGCCACCGATGCCAGCTTTATGGGCATGTGGCGGCCAACTGTTCCGCGACTCTGAGGTGCGTAAAGTGCCTCGAATCACATCCCACAAAGGAGTGTTCTTGAACTCGAGACACTCTCACCCCTCCGGCCTGTGTACTGTGTGGCCAAATCGGCCACACAGCCAACTATAAAGGTTGCTCACGAGCGCCGAAGTCCAAACCCTCTTCTAAGAAGAAGGGTAAAGGCCCGGCGGTCAACAAAGCACCTAAACACGAAGCGTTATTAAGTGCCTTATCATAAACACTAATAACATGTTAGGTTTCCCAAACCTCCCACAAACCATCCTTTGGCCGACCTGGTCCTCCTTACGAGACCCAGTAGACCAATTACGCCCCCATCATACTGACCCTTCAGGTCAACCCTCTCTGCCCTCTTGACCTGACATCCCCTCAGGATGCAGGTCACACAAATTGTTACGGGCATCAAAAGTACTCTTTAGTATATTACAACAAATGAGCGTGAAATAATCACGTCGATGCAAGTTTTAGTGCCACATACCAGCCGAATATTATGCCAGGAAGCTCGCCTAATATTCGGTATTCCGCATATGGCCGACCATACTATACTTTGCAATATAAAGGTATACTCTAAGGTTGCAAGTCTAACAATTTACTCTCTGCTAAAGAGTAAACTATATAAGTATATACATAGGTACCTTAGAGATAGGTACTTTACTATAGATTTATAGATACGCTTTAAATAGGCTTAAAGATAAAAGAGTAAAGAATATATACTTTTACTCTTTGAAGTAAAGTATACCGACGACGTCTACAACAAGTCTATGTTTATATTTTTACAGATATTCATATACATTTAATAATTCATGATAATGTCTCTACTCAACTAATCACTCATTAGTGTCGTTTGCAATGCCGTAGCATTGTATACAATGCTATCATGTGGAATTTTTTTATAAAGACACCGCAATGAAGCTACCTTTTAATAAGTTCCTTTCTCCAGTACTAAAACCGTATCTAAATAATACAAGAGCTTTTTGTCAGCATCCTTCATTTGGAATAAGTGTTCCGTATATTTACTTCTATGGGACGCTTGGTTTCGTAAGTTTTATTATTGTATCTCTAAATTTTAACAACCCTTAGACTTAGTAGGTATAAGTTTAAGTTTTGTCTGAAGATGCAGCTCTGCTTCTAATTGTTACATATTACCAACATTTCTGTCTAGTGAACACGAAACCCGAAAAGAATCCGGTAAGGAATTGTACTTACTTAATGATTTTTTTAGAATAGAATGTCTTCTTTTATGCGTAGGATTATTTTGCTTATATATTTATTTTGTTCTCTAAGCTGGAATATAATACTGTGATGAAACATCCGTAAATTGTGTTGATATAATCATCATCATCATCGCCAGCCCATTAATGTACCCACTGCTGGAACTCAGACATTCTCTATGGATAGAATCGAATAGAGGGAATGGGCCATGATCCATCACGCGGTCCCTTTGCGGAGTCGTGGGTGAATTTCCCCCGTGTATGATATATCTTCGCATAGGTGAAGAATATTTTAAATCGGTCCAGTAATTTCGGAGCTTATTCTATGCATACAGACAAACCTTTTTCCTTATCATTATTATTAATATTTTTTATTAGTATAGATTCGTAAATATTAAAACCGTCAAACTTAACCGATGAGTGGTAAAATCCTTTCTGTGGAGTTTAAATAGTATGCCCTTTTTCACAGTTAATAAACGCTAACCATTTGAAAGACCATTTCGGAGAAATACCAACATCAGATACTTTAAGAGAAAATTATCGAAACTTCATGATAATACACGATTTGAAAATCATAGGCACTTCTATGGGTCTCGTTCAGTATGCATGTCTTGTTATTGGCTGTTTTAGTGTAAGTTTACAAGAACATAACTATTGGAATTATATTCAATATATAGACTTAATAAATTTCATGAAATTCATTAAAATCGTATGATTTGCAGGAGAATCCAGCTCTTTTCTTACCCCATCTCATTGGACAGCTCGTCATAGTGTTCATTAAAGTAACGAACTTGTTTCTTTTGCTGACTTGCTTGAATTTACAATCTGTTAGCAAGTTTAGGCACAAGATACCACCAATCCTAATGATGACATTCAACTGGTCCCAAGAGTTTTGTGTCTTCCGTAAATTTTTGTGCATATGTGATTTGTAATTTTAAATAAAACTATGTAAGTTTTATTGAAATTTTTGCCTTTTTGGTTTCGAGCTTCCCATTTGTAGACTATGAGACGTGAAATGTAGATAGTGAAAAATGAGAGGTGGCAATTTGTCTTATAAAAGATGTTGAAAATATGTATTTTCTGAAATATATAATCAAGTAATCCCACCAAAATCATTTTCATGTAAAGTGTTGCCAAGTGGAGACCGTGGCTCACACTGACAAAAAGTTTATATACTTAGGTATACTTATTTATTTTAATCAAAAAGTATAAGTACAGTACTTACGCATGAAATTTTATATTTTTACTTTTCTCATTGACAATGTGTAATTTTCGCATTATTTAAACACACAGGAAAGCATTATTTCTATAACGAGTGCATATGCCATTAGTAGATGCGCAAATAACCCACCTAATCTTTTTAATACATCATTGGACTAAACCAAAATATAGTAATTATGGATGAAAAGTTTTGGTCACAAGCAAACAAGTCACAAACCTTTTTTCTGATTCCCAATAAACCATAAAAATAAACCAACAGGTTTTATATACTCTTTGATTCCCATAGAGACTTTAACTATTTATTTAACAATGACAGTCAGTCGTTTTTATTATTTTAAATAAAACAATTTATATTCATGTGACTGTTGCTGTTGTTTCCTATAATGTAGTAATATCAATAATATTTTAAATATTCAACTATGGACACTGAACGCAATAACATAATGAACCATCTAGGAATCAAACACGAGAATCACGTGCGCGAGGTAAGAAAAATCAAAGTTAATTTATAGATAAAACTTGTTTAGGGGCTAGGTGCTGATATCAAGATTCTTACGTCGCCAGAGAATCGCAGAAAAAAGATACCAAAATGCAAAAATCACAGAATTCAGTTCACGTTTGCTTTTTGAGGAAAATAAGACCTCTTATAAAGACACCCCGTCTTTATAAGTATCGGCCAGTATAATGCTACGGTCTCTTTGTTTAGACGTTGTCTATCCTTTTATAATCAAGATGTCTTATTTTTTTATAACAACCTTACTACCGTAAGACTCACAAGTCCAAATCTATTAAGAGTGAGTGATTATCCGAATGCCTACTTAGGGATGATAGATACTTATTTCTTGTCTGTTCATCAGAAATATTATATCATATATCACGGATTGATTCTAATGGATACTCAATTAAAGACAAGCCGAAACCGAACATCATTCAACGAATTTCTACAGCGATACTTTTCAACTCGATTAAGCACGCCTCTAATCGACCTCGATGATTTTTCAGCTATTTACACCCGAAAGCGAGAGTCCAGAAGGAGTACGCATGAAATTACGCGCTCTTTTGGTCGCATTGCTCGGTGTGTCGATGTCCGCTTGCGCATTCGCCTCACAGCCTGTTGAACTGGAATTAGACGATGAAGAAGTGGCCCAAAGGTTAAACAACGTGAGCTTTGCGAGACGGTAAGTCCACAATGTTCTAGACCATTTGTGTTCTTTAAGTCTGTTAGAGCATACACAAAACAGAATTAAACTAAATAAAAAACTCTTACAATATTATTATAATTCATCAATTTTGCATTCACAATGTTATACTGAAAAATATTTTTAATTAAAAATGCTTTAAAATCCACTTTATCCCTGGCACTTTGAGATGGAACTCGAAGCCATATGCCCTTTTGCAATCCGGGTGACTGCTCTAACCACTGGGCTACCCAGGACCTAAGAGGACTGATGAATTTTTCAAGCATTGTTACTTTTTCTTTGTTACTACAGAGCGTATTTTCATCAATGTTCAGGTAATCAACCCAAACAGCCGGAAGAAATATTTAAACTTTCGATAAAGATGAAAAAATAATTAATCGTAGGCTTGATTTATTCTTATCTTGATTTCTTTTAATACTTAAGAACTGCTTTTTATTGTGTCCGCTAGAATAACCAAGCCGACTATTCGTCTGGTAATGGGATATGGAAAATTGAGTGCTTTTGTTACGGCGGCTACATCACTTTTGTTACTAGTCGCAGTAATGTCCAAGGTATTTATTTGCCCTGTTGTACTTTTAATCCCAATTCCAGTAATTATAGATACTTAGATTCCACGTATAAAAGTCTGTACAAGGAAGATATCTGTGGTCTGCCAGCCTTTACGTAAATACCAGAGTGCATTCGGCGAGAAAGCTAAGTATCTGCGTGGTTCGTCCATTTCAGACCATCGATATACTTGTATGCAGTGCCGGTTTTAGCACTACTGGCGCCCTGGGCGAAATTTCTTCGGCGTCCTCTAATTGCAATTCAATTACAATCAGTTACTACTACATACTACAAATCAGTTACTTGTCTTTTTTTCGCCGACCCGGCCTATTTACTTGTAATCTTCCCTAAATTTAGGTAGATTGTTAAGTTGGCAGCATTAGAATGGTAAATAGTGTTCAATCGGTTTAATTTCTCGGGAATCCCCGACTTTCCGACCATACAGAAACAATGTGTTTTTCTATAATCGGGGATTCCCTACATCTATCTCTTTTAATTTTTGACGAAGAAGAACACAATCAACAATTATCTTCTTGCTTGACATAAGTAGACGCTCTTAAAACAATTATTTGATTATTTTAAAACAAACAAATTTAAGTATAGATTCAATTTTACTTTAACAGGGTGTCACATAATTGTTATCTATAACTTTGTGTAATTGTTGTAACTTTGTGACAGTGAGTTTGCAGTGGGCCACTACTTATTGTATAATCAATTATTTTGCTATTTCAAATAAGTGGACAAGTAACTGGATCCGCTATATTCGGGACAAGAGTATCAACATCATCCAGTACATGTATTTGTTGTACATCAATAACAGATTTATCCTGAGCAGCATCTGCAATCATAGCACAACTTGCTCCCTTACTTCGGGATTTTTCATCCAAAATCTCTTGAGTAGCTATTCCATCTGACTTGCCAGACAGAGGCTCCACTGCCGATGCATTCGTTTTATTGCAGCATTTTAGCTTCAGCTTAACGTTTAAACATGCTCAAACGAAAATTTTCTTAAATGACCGAGCGATAATGCCCACCAATGTACGTCATATTACCTAATAAAATACATATCTTCATATTGGTAATCGGTATGTTGTTCTGTTTTACCATAATATAATATTTTTCTTGTTAAGTTTCCTTTCAATTCATGCTGAAAGTGAGGCAACTTGAAAATAAAAAAAAACCTCAAGGTTCTTGTTCTTTTTTCGTCGACCTAGTAGGCCTTGTATAATTCAAGGGAAATAAAGCAAGGGAACTATAAGAGGGCGTTTGTGGGAAATGAGGAAGTAGGTATTAGAAAAAAAAATTAGTTCCCGATGTCGCTACGGTATGTTCTTGATTTCTCCATGACAACCCTTCCAGTTTCCTTTTATGTTTAAAAGTAAATTAGTTTTCAAAACTCAATTACAACTCATATTCTATTTGTACTTTTTCGTATTTGTATTGATATCTAAGTTTCGAACTTTTCAAATTTCAGTTTTTTAATATGTTAGTTCAAATGAACGGAAATGACTGTCTTTGTTCCATTCGTTTCCTGCAAAAATCAACTTTTGCTAGAGTCGCCATCTAGGTGGAGGTGTTTTTGTAGTGCTTTCGTTTTTTTAAAATACTTCCTCATTATACAGAATCAGAAAGAAGCGTCGGACGTAAAAGGGGCGCCCAAGCCGCGGCGCGGCGCCCCTTTTCGTCCGGCGCCCCTGGGCGGTCGCCCAACCGCGCCCTACCCTAACGCCGCTACTGCTTGTATGTTATCGAGTGAACGCTTAGCCACTTACCTCAATACATCAGTATTTATGGGTATCCTGCCTTCTCGCCGAAAATTGTTTAGCGGATTATCACTTGCCAACCAACGGTTCGCCTGATTTTCACTTTGACGACTAATGATTGTCAAATTTTTGTATGACAACGTTTCATTTGGTAGAATTATTGTTAAGCTCATTATTGTAATGACAGAACACGTTCCGGGCACTTATCATTCATCAAATCCTTCATTAGGCCAGACAACTTTTAGACGAATAACGTTTCGTCTGTATAACAGTACCCTTTTCGTACATTTATATTATGATATAAAATAAACTAATTTCGATATGCAATTTTTATTAAAGAATTACAAAAAAAATTAACACTTCAAATTAGTAGCAATGCACATTAATAATTTTTCATGTGAATATGAAGATTTGTGTTCAAGAATTCTGTTGATTCTTTCGTCTTTGTCTAAGTTTTTTTTTTCTTGGGTTCTGGTGGGGCACCTGTTAATATATTTTCTATTTCCCCCTCGTTGGCAACGGTTTCCTTTATTAATTGTTTTATCAATTCATAAACACCTGGGTGATTTTTATCAATAATATTGTTTATTTTGTTATGCCAGGCTTCGGCCGAGTTCTGTGTTCGTGGTATATTCATCTTGTTTGTTTCATAGCAGCTCCAAAATCTAGGCTGATATTTAGGTTGTGTGGTTGATGTTCCGTGTACATAATTGTTTTCGAACCAATGCGCTAATTGTTGCCAATCTGGATCTTTCAAACTTTTTAAGATACTTTCGAAATATACGTATATTTCAGATTCCTCAAGAAAACTGAGTGCTAACAAACACTTCACCTCTTTATTAAACTGAATGTCGCTTGCATATCTTTTGGCGAAACCCTGGTCTTGAACTTGCCTGAAATAAATAAAAACTTGTAATAAGTACATATAACAACAAAAAATTATATACCATTTGCAAAATTTCAAAGTGCGGAACGTAGTTGAGGTGAAATCGAAAGAAATCGGTTAGGTTAGGTTAGAACTGCGACCAACAACGCACGAGCCGAGCGAGCGAAGCGAGCGTGCTGCGGCAGCAGCCGGCGAAGTGCCAGAACCGAATCGCTTTACTACACAGGGCACTTAAATATTAGCAACATTAGAAAAATAATTATAAATATTTAGATTTAGAAAATTATAATAGAAAAATGAATATTACTCTATCTGAAACGTTCGCTACTTGAAAGTTGGCCTTGTGAAAAGTGTCATTATAAAAGCCAGACCAAACGTACAGTTGGCAATAGTTAAGTTGGGAAATAAAACAAAACTAAGTGATATAGTTGGCAAATGATTATTCGGCGAAATAAAATTCTGCGAAACGTTGATTGGCAAATGATGATCTGCCAGACGATTTTCGCCGAAAAGGCAGAGAACCGTATTTATGTATTATCTATGCTCAATACTTTAGTCCTAATACCTACCACTACTATTTTTATGTTGGTCGTTACTAATTATAGTTGTACCTATCTATTGCCTTTCTTGTCAGTGTTATAAAAGAATAACTTTGTAAGTTCAGTCTACTGTTTATAAATGCTCAAATACTAGAAAACCAAATAAAAATACGTAATTTAAGCCAGTGTTTCATTCCTACTGTTCTCTTGGCAACAGGATTGTAGTTGAAGAGTATTCTTTTGCACTCTGACTCTCAAAAATAACAGATTTCTTAGGCAGCACAGCTATTTAAAGCTCTCTATTTTATAGCAATCTTGGTGGCGGCGCGGTGCGCGTTGGCTAGCGGCACCGGCTCTGTTGGTCACGGCATTGGAAGCGGCATCTGACGTAGGAGACGCCATGTTAGCAGCAGCATTACGCGGCACCTCTGAACCGGCTAAACTCATTGCGCAAATTGCCGCCGCTGCTGTACTTGTTACCGTAGAGATTTTAGTCTGGTTAGTTATACTTTTGCTATTTTAGAAACTCTTTTGATTTAAATATAAAACTTCTTTTAAATTATATAATAATTGAGATAGAAATCAAATTAAATCAGCAGTATTTTGTTATACAAGCTTTTCCCTGATACATTAAAATTAATTTCATTAATATACCTAAGTCTATCTATACGTTTATCACTGGCGGTAGCTAAATGGTACAATAAGTATTTTAAGAATGAAGAGGCATTTGTAAATGATATATATATAAGGGGAGCTTAATGGTGCAGTGTTAACGCTTTCGGTTTGCTATGTCAAAGATAAGAAACTTTCGTAAAGGCTGGTCAATGGATAGCTGACCGGTATCTCGAGCTTCTTCATGCTTAGAAAGACACGTCAAGCCATTGATTCGAGCTGCATCAGCAGATATTACGCTCACCAATCCGCACCGAGTCGACATGTTGGGTTATAACCTATTTTCCCTATTCGATTCTTTACCATAATTAGTGTAGTACTTATGTAGTGTATAATTAGTGGGTCCTGTACTCTAGCAGGGCAAGCCTGATGGTTATTAAGAGAGTTCTTGAAAAATCTGTATCATATATGTAATTAAATGGGTATAGAGGTAAATGTTCTCTGTAGAAAAAAATTACAAGTTTATTTTAAAATTTACATGTTTATTTACTATCGTAGAATTATCAGTTAGTTCGTAATTGAAGGTTTTGGTTGAGAACTACTTCAAGAAATTTTACGCTTTGCAATAATTTGTTAAAAATACTTTCTACGCTCTATTTCACGTAAAACATTATCTTCTGTCTGTGTCTTGTTGACTCGTAATCTTTCTCTTCGTTTGATTTATACTTTGTCTTCACCAAGCAGTGAACTGCCCAGTGGATCCCCGGAGGCCTACCTACCAAAACCTCTGTAGTGCAATCTCTCTTGGGAAATGAGACTCGAAAACAGTGACAGGGCACCAGAACACTCACCCCTCTTCAAGCGCAGCCTTATTTGTTATATTTACTTGTATTACAGGTATTTCATCGCTAAATTTTTCGAGTATAATCCTGCTATACCGACAGAAGAAAGACGAAAAGAAAATGTGAAAATTCCACAGTAACAGAAAAAAATTACACTTCACTGATAAACTTTTGCGCATCTCGTTAACATTGAATTTATAAAAACCACGTAATTTATTTGTATATACTTTATTAATAATACAATATATTTTTTATTATACCACTGGTTAAATAGAAGTTTTATAATATTATTTTACTTATTGAATCCATTGAATAAATGTTAAATAATTCTAATATACATGTTACTTTTTTTAAAAATTTTTGATTCACATACATATACGCTACATTATCAATCTACATGCATGGAGAATTAACAATCCATTATGCTTAAATAAACTTTATTCATATAAGGCACTTTAAGTATTTTAATAACATACATATAGGTTCGGTCTCTATTTATTTATTATGGATTGAAAATATAAGATATCAATTTTATTCCAGTATAAAACTTATACATGAACACTCCTTACAGTGTGCATATTTCCTTACATCAATAAAGAAACTCCATTCTACAATCTCTTGTTTATAGTTTAAAGCAATGTCTGATAATAAATCTGAATTTATATCGTCTGATAAAATATCAAATAGATCGAGTTGTTTGTTAGTGGCAACAAAATAATGTGAAACCCTCATTAAAACATCTTCATCGAAATTTATTTCGATTAATTTATCAATTTCCTTAGTTGTCAGAAGAGATACAATTTCAAAACATATCATCAAATATCTATCGCACTGCTCTTGTGAAAACATTTCAAGCCACTCGTCTAGTTTTTCTATTGTGCTTGCTTTGACTAAAACATCATGATTGCCGATTTTAACACTTTCGCCAGCTGTTAGTGTCATAAATTTGACGTTTCGTGATTTTCGGAAATTGTATAAATCATCAAATTTACGAGGATCATTATTTGTAGATGATTTTTCAGATACTCTTTCCATGAGCTTTTCTTTAATCTTACGTATCATGTTTGCATCAACTTTGCCATTTTTAAAAAATGTCTTTAATACGTTCTTAAATGAAATATCTCTATCTGAATCATTTATATCGATATTTGATTTAATATAGTTTAAGACAAATAATATTATACGTATCTTATAATGCGGATCATACAAACTCAATTTATTAATTTCAAATGGTAAAAGTGAAGCTATAAAATCGATGCAGAATACTAGAAACGCGTCATGGATATCTCTGCTTATTTCAGAAAGAATTTCATAAAGTAAGTCTTGGTCAGAGTTGCATAAACTATATATAAAGACGCCGATCTTGATTACTTCTTGTGGTTTGATAAAACAGTCAGTTTCTAGTGAAAAGACTGGACCACTGCTGGAGCTAGTCGATGCGTGTAGCCTCGTCGGAGCGTTCTTAGCCATAAGTGTGTCAGGACCATATTTTGCAAACAATTGGTCTCTACCACTTCTGCCGAGCTTATGTAGATTATTTAAACCAACTTTATGCTGACTGTTTATCATTGGGTTACCATCAGGAGCTAAAGATATTCGTATTTTATTTTTGTTCATTTGTTTGTTTATTCTAGCTATTTTGGCAAAAAATTCATTTTTATTTTCTATCTTTTGCAAGCCTTTTATTACGTCGGCATTGCCTTGAATTGTACCCTTTACTCTGCGAGTTTCGGCAGTTACTTTATCAAACATTTTCCTGTAAAATAAGACTTCATGTTAATATTATTGAGATGGTTTTAATTTTATTTATTTAAAACAAGCTGTCTTTCCGCGACTACGCCCGCGTAAGATGTAACTATTCATTGACAAAAGAATATTTAGACAAAGCACAGGTAGTAACTTTAACTCTTTATAATATTAGTATAAAACTTTTTATATTCACTGTGTTTCGGAAAGTAGGTACACCGTTGGTATCGACAACTTTTGCAGTTTTTAACATCCACCAATCAGCACTGAGTCCAGGTGGGGTACGTCATAACGTGGTACCGTTCATAGGGAACCACTGATATTGATGATCAGTAAGTAACTTACTTTTTTACTTTACTAGGCAGAGCGTCCCGGAATTCATTAATCGTCTTTGCTTGGGCGTCTTGCACAATTTCTTGAGCAGTTTGATTTGACATAGCACCAATACCAAAGAATAATGCTGATGAAGTAAATTGGAATATTTCCAAAGTTGTAGGCTTCTCATTATACTTAGTGTACTGGAAAACATTGAAATATAATAAAAACACGTATTTACGTTAATACGCTATACTAATACTTGTCTAAATTACTTACCTTCATGATCATGTCACTCAAACTGTTGAGGATTCCTAAGAAGCCAGTGCCTAAATTGGCATATTGCAATACCCGAACCGCGTTCATGAGTATCTAAAATATTTCGTGAGTAATTAATTTATATATCATACTATCACTATCAACAGCCCTTTTACGTCCCCACTGCAGGGTCTCAGGCCTTCCTTATGGATAGTTAAGGAGGATGGGCCATGACCCTCCACGCTGGCCCTATATCATACTATTTCGAACCAAATACGCCTGTCTAAAGACACGAGTAATTGTGATGTCATAATATTAAAAATATAATTTTAATGGAAAACATAATAAAATAAAAGAATTATATAATAAAAAATAAATCGATTCGATGAATGAAACACTAATATGAATGAGACATTTAACTCTGTCTTCTGGAACTAGATTTCCACCAACAACTTCACCTGAATGGTCCACAAGGAACTAATTATTTGGATATATAATTACAATGACAAATTGAATAGTAAACGATCGTTATTATGATAACGTTTTAATTCCCTATATAAACTTTAACTCCTATTTTCATCCCTTTATTTGCTGTTTTTCGGGATAAAATATAGCCTATGTTCACCGCATATGATATAGTTTCCCATAGGTCCATTTTTTAAATCGGTCCAGTAGTTTCGGAGTATATTTGATACAAATAAATAATCAAATTTTTACTTTTTATAATATTAGTATAGACTGGCTGATGCGGTGAACTTTGTATCACCTTTCACCTTAAACCTTCCCTGGAATACAACAAACATTACAAAACCAAAATCAGCTAAATATGCCTAGCCGATATCGTGTTTTAATGAGACAAACGAACATCCTATATTTAACTGATACCGCCTTTTGAACGTACTGTAAATCTTCACCAGTTTTACTGGTAAAGAATGCTTTTTTTGGTATTAAGTTTTCCATTTGTTGTTTTATAGGCAAAAAAGATTCATTTAATAAATAAATAACGCAATGTTCTGTAGCAATTACGGATGCGGATGCGAATTTAACCTAAAGGCACTGGGTTGACGTGACAAGTAAAAGCTAGTAAGTTACCTAAAAGTTAGTATAATACAGTGAAATCCAATTAATTTTAAATACCACAACGTTAGTTCCAGATGCCGCAGCCCAGGATAACAATTTAGTAGCACAACTGGCAGATATACCAGCTGTAGACACCAAAATATTGATCCAGCTAGCTCGAGCTGCACTATTCTCTATTCCAATACTCTGAAATCATAAATGTATCAAATTTTAATCCAAAATGTCACTACGATCAAAATATACCCAAAAATAACGATTCAAGATGCAAGTTTGCTCTAAAACATGGCCCTAAATTTTTATAAGACACAAATATGCCTTATATTTAGTAATGGTCACATTTGTTTTCTTTGCTCTCGGGGCTTAATCTTCTTAATTTTATAAATATTTATAAGCCTTGCAAATTATTTAATATCTATAGTGCTATCCACTCTTTTACCCAAACATGACATGAATGACAACTATAAAAAGAAATTATTTCAATAGATGCGAGCGAATCTCATTTAATTTTATTTCAACAAATTACCTGTTCGTGTTTACGTCTGTCCGCTAAATTCATTGATGAACGCACAATACCATATACTCCAGTAACAGCACCAACTCCGACTGCCGTTCCAACAGCTACGGGAGCAGCGGCGGGTACTAATAATGCTCCAGCGACCCCTAACAAAGCTCCAATGTTGGCAACTATAAAAGAATTACTCCTTATAATTTGCATTTTGTTGCTGTGTTAAAAAAAAACAGGTCACTAATGTATCTACATTCAAACTCCAAGTGCTGAATATAACCCTATATCCTGCTTCACTGCTTGAAAAGAATAAGAAAATCCACAGGCGTACCAAGTTAACTAACATAGCACTTGTAATTAGAAATGGGTTGATATCCGAAAGACGGATGTAAGTTAAGAGACATAGAGTATTGGAGTGTAGACCAAGGATAGGAAAACATGTGTCCGTTGGGAAACAGCGTAAAGGCAGTCGACATTACTTATAAATGCGGCAAAACTGAATGTACAAAACTAATGATCGCAGACATTTGAATAAGGAGATCTACACTCAACAAGTGATGATAAACCTATATTATGATGAAATACCATGAAAAAATTAAAGTGAAAATTTAATATCATGTTACTTACATGTGCTTGCTTTAATATCATGTTACTTACATGTACTTGCAGTATCGGTCACGCTTAGTATTTTAGCACCGAGCCCCAACGCTGGTGATGGAACAACTTGGCATTTCACCAGTGGCATGATCTCTGCCCATTCCATATTGTCATCATTAAACATAGCCTGAAATGCATTTTTTAATACATAGATTTAATATGCAAATATTAGGTGGTTCATCAAAAGTAATTCATTTTCAGTGAACAGTACTGAACGATGACCTGACTAGTGATCGACTATTTCCATCGTATTTTATACGTGAGGACTTACGTTAGTACTTGTTTTAAGCCATTGGCCGCCTAAAGCAAATTGACACTCACAGAAGAGAAAACATTAAATTGAGACGTGTTGACTTATTTTGTAGGATAATGATTTAACGTTTGCATATATGTTGACTGTTTATTTTGTGTAATTATACTTTTCTTCATTATCAATATAAAATAAAAGATAGTCTATATTTATTTGCTATTTATTTATAGACATCATACCGATTCAATGTGTCCTCTATACTGTCCATTTTCCGGGACCACCATCACGCATTCAGGTAAGTTATTATTAGTTAAATAAGCTTGCCAATTTTGGTAAACTCTTCCATCGTGGTCTATAAAGATTCGGCATCCTTGGGCTGTAAGGTAAAGATTCATTCACCAAAAAAATGTTTTAAATAAGAAATCGATTTCGTGATCATATATTTTTTTTATTGATGATTTCATAATCGCAGAAGACTTAACTTCACGCCACAGGGTTAAGTCAAGTGGCTTAGCTTATATTTACATAATCTTAAGAGTGAAAATTGTATTCGAAGGAGTTGTCTCAAGGTGCGCACTATAGCTGATAAAATGAACGAATAAAAAGTTAAACTAATTTAATTGAATTTATGAAGCATCCAGTCTAATAGATTTCCTTGTAATTTCATTATATTTTCTTCCGTTTAAACCTTCTTTGGACTTCTATTACAAATATTTCATTACATAAAATCAACATTAGTCAAATCGGTACACATGTTTTCAAGTGAGATTATTAAAATAAAACGGCGTCATTTGCTGGAAATATTTCAATTATCTACTTGAATATGGATAGAAATATCATCTTATCTTCGACATTTTAAGCGTCTTGAGTGGACAAAGCAGTTTATAAAATGGTGAATCATACAATACGCTTGACGAAAAGTATAAAGATTCCGTTTCGTTTTAAAGTAGTTCCTACCACGAAGTATATTTTTGTAATTTAATTAGTTAATCTATACTAATATTATAAAGAGGTAAAGTTTCTAATTTTATTTGTTTCTTCAAAAATACTTTTTTTTTTCATTTACGGGAAAGTACCTCATACAAGCTAGTTATTAGTATGCCTACGTATCGCGTATGATAAATACAATGTATGAACTCACCTCCAGATTTGATAGAAATACATTTTCTCAAACTGAACACGTGGAAAATTGATATGTCGACACCACTTTTCTTCACGTGCAAATCTACCCAGTAATCAGATGGTGTAATTTTGTAAAAAGGTACCGATTCACTTGGCATAACGCAAACTACTCTTATAAGAGAGATGTATAAACTTTCATTGTCTTGTGAATATTTAGCTGAAAAAAAAAATCAATTGTGAATTGTAGATAAAACGGGAATGTTAAATTATTTTATTCGAATCAAGTTAATGGAAAGGAAGCGAAATGACAAAGGTACCATTATAGTCAGCCTAGATCTAAGCGTTAAAGAACTAAAAATTATAGTTTATTTGCCTGTATTATCATTAAGCTCATTAATGTGAAAATATTATAGTATATAAGCCGTGTGTGCTGGATCACTTGAATGTATGGCGAGCGATATTTTTATCTTATAATATCATAATAGCATCTTAACCGTGTGCTACGACCTTTACCGTTCTGAGAATCCTTCGATTAATAAATTAACTCAGTGATAAAACGTACAATAACCCACTATGTGATCATTAAAATTTCCGGGATGTACTACGTTTTGTTTAACGGGACACTATACGTTGCCTATGTCACACATTTCAGTTCAGAGAGTCCAATACCTATAAAGTACAGTTCCTAAAGTGCCCGATTCCCGAAATCTAAGAATCAAAAATATAAATTCGTACCTACTATAATTCTCCATTAAACTTAATTAGTAGATTAGAAAAAAACATGCGTAAACTTGTCACAAGTTTTAATAAAATAATACTCTCCCTAATATTATTTTAGTTTATTCTAACCTGGGTAGATGTAGGTAAAATAGACTATTGTACGGATGGCATTGGGGCGAGGTATTGAAAACATAAGATAAATAATAATTATAAATAATGCATATTTATGAATAAATTTTAAAATTTGTAGGTGTATTAGAATTAACTTTTAAAACACGAAGAGTAACATTATGCTGAACTTCCAAAAATACAATATATTATCTCTTGCTTCTTCATAAATAGCTTCTAATACACGTGATACAATGGCCAAGTAAGAGAGTTTATATCGTGAAATGAAAAAGAATATCTATTATAATTTTACCTTGCTCGCATATTTTATTAAAAACTTGGGTAGAAATTTCGGTTTCTCTTGTTTCATATCCCTGTAGTATTAAATCGTCGCCTGCGCTCAAATTGCCTTCTCTTGACGGCGGTCCACATAAGGCCACAGCGACTTTTTGTAACAAATATTTTCTATCGTTTTTCTCGTAACTGTAAAAGCAGCAGATTACTGTATATACGTATAATTAATAAATATACGACTTAATATGATTTACTCAGATTCCAAGATGAGTAGCTAAAGTACTCGTATCTGAGATAACTAAGATACCACAACACTCAGACCTAAGACGACATAGAAAAGTTGATTTTCTACGTCTCCGTGAAATGAACCCGGGACCTTAGAGATAGCAACACATTGAAACCGTGGCGTGCGAACCACTCTGCTACGGAGGAGGTGCGAACTTATTTTTTTTTTGCAACAAGCAACTACTACTTTTTCCATTTAAAGTAGGTACGCCACTGAGAATAGTGCCCTTTTAAACATTCATCAGCCCTTTTACATCCCCACTACAGGGGCTCTGGCCTTCCTTATGGATGGTTAAGTAAGATGTTCAATGATGATGATGATGATGATAAGTTCAATGCGGATTGGAGGGTACCGGGACCAACCACTTAATGTGCCTTCCGAAAACAGAGTAGCTTGAGATAATATTCTTTTGGCTTTCATAAACGAAGAATATATTTGTTGAATTTCGGTATCAAAAATATAGTATTAGTAATAATAACTTTTCAATAGTATATAGCGCGCAGTCCTTAAATATAGTACAATATTATGCATTATTGCACCTGCCATGTTATAAAGCGCCTTGTTCGTTTTTTATCTGAAACCGGTCCATTACCGACGATATCACAAAACGCGGCACATATCAGATGTAAATAAGTAGGTACCTATGGATAAAAATATTTCTTTATCGTGACAATAGCTTGCGCTTGCGCATACGTGAGTTTCAGTCATGGTAGCAAAGAAAATTGTCAACTCGTGAAGGAAGAACATAATGTGCATTGTTTATATCGTGGACCAATATATTATTGGTCCACGCCTTTATTATCCATACAGTACATTATAATGTATCAAGGATATTATTCAATGTTGACTTACAGTTCCCAATCCGCATCTCCTACAGCTTCATAGTAATCTTGTTGAATTTCAATCGCTGACAATTGTTCCTTAAGTGGGGCATTTGCTGCCATTTTGAATTCGGCTGCAAAATACAACAAAAGATATTTAGGTTAGGTTAGTTAAAAATCTATATTACTTGCTATTTTATTTTAGATATATTAGTTCAAATCACATAGAAATACCATCAAAGAAACTTTGATTTAAAAAAAATTCAAGCTAATTTTAAAATGAAAGACTTTCTACACGCATAACCTACTTAACAATATAAAGTAACAAAGAGCTCGCCTATTAAGTAGTTATTATCTCATCAATACTTAAAGCAACTACCTATTATGATATGAATTATGAGTGCCTAATTATGCAAATATTGTTTAGATTAGTCGAATAAATATTATAATTGAACTTACTTTTTATGTCTCAATTACAACGGTTGTTGGAAGACTAAAACAATGCTGAATGCGCCTGCTCGAGAGAATGATATTTATAGGACACGCCTGTAAGGACTTCCCCACGACGAAAGTGTTGCCAGAGTTTAAAATATTTTCCCTGCGTTTCAAGTATCTTACATAATGAATTGAAAAAGCCCCAAAAAGCAATAGATATTAAGTGGATATATTCCTTTCTCTGTGTTATCTCAGTAAATTAATAAAAATACTTTTAGCATTTCAAAAGTTATCGTAGGTCTCATGGAAATGATTATTATCGTTGTAAATATAAAAGGCAAGGCAAGCAATTCCAGGTACTCGAGTACCCAAGTACCTGCTAGGTATTCGAGTCGGTACCTAGGAAAATTATTATTACTTCTACGGTAGTAGTAATAATAATTTTCCTAGGTACACTTGCATTACCTTTGATACGTCAAGGGTAGTGCAAATTTGTCACACTGAAACTAGAAAGTTTGATTTAAAACTTGCTGTAAGTTGCTGTAGTTGTCATGGCATACTTGATGCAAGTCTTCTTTTTTGATGTATCAAACGTATCAAACTTGTTACAAACAGTTCACACAGTACAGTAACAGTCAGAAACAAGTTTAAATTGCTATATGGGTCAGGTCTACTATCCCTTAGAGTCGTCAAACTTCAAAAAATCGAACTTCTAAGCTAACGCAATCAAAAGATACAGCCTTTTATGCCGCAAATATTCGAAACTTGCAAGGGAATCAAAATCTACAGGGTACTTCCAGTGATCTTAAACTCTTAAAATTTGGTACGAAGCAACGAAAAATTATAATTTTTTTTAAATTTTAATTCATATCAAACACTGAGGTCTATAATACCTCTAAGCTGTAACAAAATCAAACTTCTATGTCAACGCAATCAAAGGCAGCTACTAGCAAGAGAATCAAAACATAATCAAGAAACACCGATTCATTTAGTTTTGACCTTGAATAACTCAAGACGCAAATACGAGATCTTAAGGCAACATTTAAAGCACCAAAATTAAATTGGATACAAGCTTATTATCTCACATTCAGATTTGACTCTTTTTGTGTTCATCTGATAGTGCCATATACCTATACATAGTTAATAATAAACCAAGTTTACGACATGTCATATTTCAGCCTGAGCGTAGGTGGATTTGCTTCGAAATTACTGAAGATATTGTTATTTACACTATAGTTAATTACGAGGCAAAAATAACAATAGTACCTAAGTACATATTTTCTCCTTAAATTTAGAAGCAAAACCTCAAGGTAGCCACCCTCTTGCCTGCCCGGTCCCGGCCGGTCGGTGATTCCCCGACCACAAGAAAGGTAAAAAAGTGTAACTATGGTCTTGGTCGTCGCAATGTGGAAGTATAACTTTTCCATTGTTTGTTTTTTACGAAAGAAACCTAAGATTGATTGATTACATGTATTCCGAGACTTATTTTTAAAAGAGAACAAAATGTTTTTGATACTAAAGTATACATTATCTTTACTATTTTTTCGGGTCCCTTTCTAAAAAGGAAAACTGAACCCTGTGTCATATAACTCATAACTTAAGTAAGTCAATGACACAAACATCTGCATAACATAAAGAAATGAATTTTAAACATGGCGAACTGTTTAAGGGGAAATTACGCAGTAAATAAACTTTTGCAGGCTTTATCATGAAATATCAAATGAAGCGGCAGATTGTGATTCTGGATAAGATATTGAAATATATACTTATGTAATATAAGATGATGATGTTATATAAGAAAGTAGGTGGAAATTGTATAATCTCCCATAATCTCTGAAACTAGTGCTTAAAATTTTGAAAATAATTTGTACAGAAAATAAATTATTACTACAGTTTCAGGAAAACCTTTTGTTTAGGCATCATATTCTTTTTCGAGCAGCTTGATGGCGCAGTGATTAGCGCTCTCGCTCTAGGCTACGGTTGTTAAGCAGCTTTGCAATGACTGGCATAGGCTAGCATAGGATGGGTGACTAAAACTATTAGTTCGAGCATCAACGTGGGTCCGAAGGCATGGCCTAGTGAATGGGCAATAGCTAGTGGCTTACGTTTTTTTCGATCGTGTCTGTAGTTGCGTTTAGGGCGCACAAATCTGATTCGCTCTTGGCCGGATTTTTATCTAAATAGATTTAACCATGTGACATATATTTATTATCAGATTAATAGAAATGTTATCTGTATTCGATGTTCAAATAAGCAACAAATGCTCATTCAATCTTGAAAATACAACAGAACGTCTTGTTATACAAAACTCAAATTTCTCCACTCGATTTTAAACCTTAACTTATGCGGGTAGAGTACAAAATAACTTGCGGAACTTAGACTTTGTCCTGACCTGACTGTGTACAAAGATTGAAAACCGTATCACTAATTAATAGATCGTATTTCTAAAAATAAGCTACAGCTTTAAATGATTGGATGTCTCCGTGTCAGACCTTTTTTCTTGTAGAGCAATGCTTTATATACTGTCACCGCCGCGACGCTTGACAGGCAACAAGGAGTCTGTGGGGCTCAATCCGCACGGACTCGGCTGAAGGTTAGTCAAAACGCGGATGGCATACCCACTAAACGACCTCCGTGCATCCTCTTTTGGGGTAAAGGACTGGGCCACAGTACAAATATATAAGTATTTAAACTCGAGACCCGAGCGAGAGATAATAGCCTAAACATGTAGGGTTGCCGCTTATAGGTTATTCGATCGTCCGAAATGCATGGTCAATCAATCTCTAAAATATAGTTTCCCCCGTTATGGTAAGCATCCAGGAACTATAATACAACTTTTTAAAGTTTTTTTTTAATATATAGACCAGAAGATGATTACAGTTTTTTTCTTACCTACGTTATGTCATCAATTTAGTGTTTTGTAAAATTAAAACGTGGTTTTAATGAATTCATTCATTACATAATTATGTATTTATTATTTTTTTTCCAAATAATCAGTCTACGAACAAAATAAGATAATGATGATCTTAATTTTTAATAATCATGTGCTTTGTACAAACAGTTTAATACGCAAATATACAATGCATTTTGAATTTGGCGGTATTCGGGTATAGAGATGTAAAAAATAAACTACAAATCGATATCTGGTAAACGAAATCTTGAGCAGAAATAATTCATTAACACTTTTTCGATGGATAAATAGCTACACAAAATTATAATTACTTATGATATTATAATAAATTACCCAAATACCTAAAGAACGAAATACCATACTATACTCGACTTATAAATGCATATACAATATTTTGGTTTACTTTTAAAACCATCTTATTTACGACCAGAAATTTTATAAAGAGCAGTAATACAGCGACACAAATAATTGCGTATCTTTATATCAGCACGGTGTACTAGCCACGACCAGCCACGACTGGCGAGTTGCCACTCGTACCTTGAACTCCTATAACTTCGATAATTTTGTAAGTGTGTGCGTGCGACGACGCATACGCACGGGCGCGCCGTCATACAAACCATTTTCGGTGCGTATGTATGAAGAGCACTTACTCTTTATACTCTGACTGGGCCAAGGGCGGATCAAAGAGGTGCCTCCTTAGTCTGGGAGAGGACCTTGGTGGACTACTAATTAAAATTGTTATACTCTTACATAATGTTGTTATAGATTTTTTGTTCCAATATTGGCAAACGCTACAGACATTGGCAAACTGTTCGTTTTACAGAAAAGATGCATTCGTACGAGTATATTGGTAAATATAGCGGACATAGAGAACTGTAGACCTCATTTTATAAAACTCAATATACTTACTATAACTTCAATCTATATTTTCGAAATTTGTACGAAAGAACAGCCATCTGTACCTATAAGCAATCCAAAGATGTATATCCCCAAACTATGCAATGCAATGATAAGAAACTGAAACAAATTATTCATTTCTTATAAAAATCTCCACTTAGCCAGTTCAGATACATACCATATGTCGATAAAAATATACAATAAAATACCAAAATACATTGAAGATATAGATATAAATGCAGTATTTTACAAAAAGTTAAAAAAAAATATTTAATAGACCAATTCTACTATAATTTAACGGAATTCTTGGATTAGAAACTTGTAATTAACGGATTGTTTTGTTTAAAATTGTATTGTTTTGTGTTAACTCAATTGTAACAATCGATTTAACTTGAATTTTTGTAATTTTGTGAAGCAATGTATGTTGCAATGTTCTTGCAGGACACATGTTGAGGATAACATATGTATATATGTATATGTATGTGTAAGAACATATGTACCAACATGGAGCAATAAATATTATGACTGACTATGACTATATACGTTTTATTTAAGTACTTTCAAAATTTTACATAATACTTTGTATAATATTATTAAGTTCTAATGTTTAGACCACGAGTATGTGACTACCCCCTGGCGCCAGTTAAAATCCTTTGAGTGTGTTCCACACCCAGCTTTCGTCAGTTACATACCTGCATACGTAGCATAACGAACTCGAGAATGTTTTGTCTACACTCAAATGTCACTTTTCTCGGGTGCGCCCATACTATATCTCACTCTTGACCCGAGAAAGTGAAAAATGAGTGTAGACAAAGCGTTTCTCGAGTTTGTCATGCTACGCTTGCTGGGATAGGTAGAGGTACCATGTGATTCAAAAGTATCAATTTTTTTTATTACGAAAATATGAATTTCATACACGACTGCTGGTTTATCTGCTTTTAAAACTTTACCATTTGACACCACATTATATTATGAATCACTCGTTTTGTCAGGAGAATCAAGAAAACATCATGTTACAGAATGTAAATAATATTTATTAGCATAATATCAGTAACATGTGATTGTGAAACGAATAAACCTTAAAGGCACAATTTGTACATGATTATTAAAATATCTAATATTTAATTTTTTATATCACAGTGCACTTAACTATAGGCAAGATCTTAAAATTTGGAACAAAGTTGCAAACACATTAAAATGAAAAATAACTTTTACTACCCACGCCGTGCTTCAACACCACCAAGGAATCATGACAAAATTACTCCAGGTTAAAATAATGGAATGCCCTTTTACTTAACTAGTATGTATTTATATATCTACTTAGATATTTTTCATAATAAAACTGGCCACTTTTGATATGTATTGTAAGTTCACACATTAACATTACAGTTAGGATAGGTACATATAAAAATATTAAATTTTATATTTTTTATATTTAATGTACTCGTAGTAAAATGAAAAACCGATAGGTAGTTACAGGTGTACAGGTAGTTGTTATACGGTGTAAATTATAAAATGAAATCATTTCCAAAAATGCGCATGTTCCCTATTAACACATCAATATATAATAGTATATATAACTGCAAAATATGTATTTATGAAAGTATTTGATAATTTTCATAAATAAAGATTATAATATGTTACCAATTTTGCGTCTAATTAGAACACTAGCACCATCTGAATGGCGAAACGTGACACTTTAAACTGCAAATATTTATATATAAACTAGTTTTCCGCCGGCGGCTTCGCCTACGTGGTCCCTAGGGAAGTGTTTATATGGATATAGATTCATATCAATAATTGCAATGACAAATTGAATAGTAAACAACAGTTACTATGGTAACGTTTTAATTCCCTATACAAATTTCCCATTTCACCCCTTTATATTGTTTTTCGGGATAAAATATAGCCTATGTTCACAGCATATAATGTAGTAGAAATAATTTTTAAAAACAGTTCACTGAACTAGCAGAGCCTGTTCGATGCAAACAAATAAACATACAAACGAATCAAATCTTTCCACTTTATAATAATAGTAAAGTATTTTTTCGGTAAGTAATCGTATAGTATAATACGAATTTAGTTGATTTTACACACAAAGACGATTATATTGTAAAGATTATGTAATATCCCAGGATGAACTTCAGGCTCGAGAATAAGCCAGATAAAATGATTATTAATCCGAGCTACATTTTTTCGACACCCATTGAATAATAATACATACATATGAGCATTCATTCATTTACATCAGTAAAACTTGCCTATTCCAATTATAACTCAGTTTTTTTTACATTCTAAATATAGGTATTATTGTATTCTGGTTTTTATAACTCGGTTTTTTTTTTCATTCTAAATATATGACACTGGCACTCTGACAAAGTGGATTTTTAAAACATTTTTCATTAAGTTATATCATTGTCAATGCAAAATTGATCAAATATATTATTGTAATCATAAATATAAAATAGTTCGATAACTTTGTTATCAGCTACCATAGTTTCCATTTACAATACTCTTTATTTTTTATGAAAAAAAATTATGAAAAAAAAAAATATCATAATGTTACGAACATGAACAATTTTGCGACGCACTTTTCTCAATGGTTGCCGTTTCGGGCAACTGACACATCCAAATTTGTTAAGTTATTTTAAACAAGTGGCCAAAAATGGCCAGAATGGCTTCGAGGAAAGGATGGTACAGCCGTGTCCTTTTAAATTTCTTGCTCATCCTGGCGGGGGTACTTCCGTGCCCCCAGATCTATACACCTGTGACTAAAATTACACTTTTCTGTATTAAAGTAAGTTTGGATTGAATTCGTGAATGCGTTCATCGTTCATTTGATGTTCTAAATCTCTTAAATTTCAAAGCTTTTCTTAAAATAAATGTACGAAAAGCGAAGCAAACGACCTTTATTAACTAAAATTTTAAATACTCTATGATTTGGATATTTATTTTCATAAAATCATGAAAGTAGAATAATAACGTAATAATAGCGTCATCTAATGACTACAGTACTTGATTGCAGATTATACCTCAAGTTGCCACGTTGATCTAAATCTAATTGTGATATATGACTATTTACTTATTTAAAAAGATATACACCTAGGTATTTCTTTTTTTTATTTTTGGTTAAAATTAAGAATAACAATATAATTTATTTATGTTTTTAAGAGAGAGGCGTAACTAATCACCAATCAGAATCAGACAGTTATAACTATTAAAGTTATATCGTGGGTTTATATTAATGGTAGTTTTATAAAACTGAATTAATTAAATTATATAATCAATTAATCAGGCAAATCTTACACCAGCGCATTTTTCACATATGAGCATCTTTTTATTTGGATACTGATGCCTCCTCTTATCAATTTCCTCATCGATCCAAACAACCAGGCGATCTTTCAAAAAGAGTATAGTGTCTTGACGAATGACGCCATCTTGAAAGAATTCTTTGAGAACAATAAGGATGCTATTATCATCATCCCTTGAAGGATCGCCTAAAGGTCTTTCATGTTTCATGTAATTAAAGACAAACTTAACAATTTGCACTATAAGATCCTCATCTGGACTGAGCAACCGCAACCGTCCTATTTCCAATGGAACGAGTTTGGAGAGTACATTAAAAGAGACAGTCATCAGATTCGCGTATACGTCTTGACTGAGATTTTCTAATAGTGAAGCTACATTTTCGGCACCACTAGCGCTAACTCTTACTAGGTAACCACCAATTCTCAGTATTTCTCCGGGATGTATGCCAACAAGAATACCACTTTCTTCCTCTCTATCAATATAACCCCCAATCGCTGTAGTTGGAGACACACGAGTGGAAACATTCGGTGATGAAACAGACGCCGGACCTATATTACTGAACAACTCGGTTCTCCCGTCTTTTCCTATACTAGATAAAAGGGACGGGTTATATTTGTGTTGAGCGTTCAAATTGACGTTGCCATCGGCTGTCATAGATATCCTAAGCTTGTGTTGGTTAACCTCTTTGTTTATTCTCAATACGTCAGCGAAATACTGATCTTTGTTTATTATGCTCTTGATGCCTTTTATCACTTCGGTGTTGCCTTGTATCGCGCCCTGGACACGTCTCGATTCAGCACTCAGTTTGTCGAATATTTTTCTGTGGATACAATTTATTTACATTAAAAATTCTGTACTACTTATGTATTAATAAAAGAAATATAGAGAAATTAGCAGAAATCACAGCTGCTTGAGTAACCCACTTAGAGAACTTGTAGAATAATTGAAATTTTATAGATTTATTGATAACAAAAAAATTATCGTATCATATTTGTACCATTTGGGAATAAAAAAACAAACTCATCATTATCTATTATTTGACCATACGATTTAGGCGCCGAGCTACGTTTAAAAACCGAGATAATGTTGTTGTAATTTAAACAAAATCAAAGGGATCTAGCCCATGCATTCTAGTATTTGGTATAAAACCCGTAAATTACTAATCGCTGGAACCTTGAATAAATAACACCCACGTGAAGTCATTTGAAAATAGAAAGTATAGATAAAACAAATGCAAGAGATAAATTATTTATTAATTATCGAAATGTTTTGAAATAAGCTCCCAAAATATTTTTATTATAAATTAAAAACTTTTAGTTTGTAACATGATAATATTGAGATATATGGAAAAAAAAAGAATAAATATATATTTTTAATGAAATCTGGTTTTCTTATCGGGGAAATCATAACACCAGTTGCTGTTTTAGTCAACTATAACAAGTACCAACAAAACTTAACAATAACGAGCGATATCAACAAAAACTGTGTGATTAAACACAACCCAACTCAATAAGTGTACTCGTCATCCAGTGTTTATTTGCTAACGGTACCGATTGTAGAACACAATTACGTCACCAAAATGGCCGCCAGGCGCATAAGCAATTTGCGGTGATTATAATACATTTACAGTGCTATTCGTTCCGACATTTAAAGGATTTTGCTCTTTTGCGTTTGGTTTACAGTTCACGGTACGTCCGTTGTTTGTACGAGTCATCGATATGGTACGATAATGTAACTTTATTACGATAATGTAACTTTATATCGATTTTCAGTTACCTACGTTTTGATATATAGAACTCTTGCCCACTTAATATTGCTTACCTATGTCTGTTACTCCTTAGAGTAGTTCTATAGTCATTGATAGTTTTCGCTTGAGCATCTTCTATTATAGATTGCGCTGTACGATTTGACATGACGGCGTGGCAGAAGAACAACGTGGCCGATGTGAATTGGAAAAGCTCAAGTTTAGTTGGCTTCTCGCCGTGGTTGCGGTACTATAACAAAAATAAATTCCTATATACTTTTCCATGCAATATTCAACACTATATCTATTGAGTTAGTGTTTAGATCCGCGTGTATATACGCGATTTCATACCACTGTTTGAGGCTGACAAAATTTCGTGCCGTCTTATAATTATAATGATGAATTTAGGTTTATATTGGTGAGATATTTTTATAAATTGGTATAGTAGCTTTTGAGTTTAAAAATTATAAAAAAATCCTCTTTATAATATTAATGTAGACAAAAAAAAATTAAAACAATAAAATATTTGAAAAAAAAAACCCTACAATAGTTATATAAAATCAAAGCCAACCAACCATATTTTTTGACAGATTAAATGTGGCTATGTCATCATAACTACAAAACATAGTTTTATCTGTATCCACTGCTGGGACTCGGCCCTTCCCTATGTAATTGAATCAAATCGAACAGGTAGAATGGGCCATGACCCACTATCGCAGGCCCAGTACGGATTGGTTGGGGTTAACGACTGCAGATGTATCCGGGACCAACGGCTTAACTGCTTTACGAAGCATGGAGGAGCTTGAGTTGGTAAAATTTTTGGTTACCCATCCTATGATCGGCCAATGCGACAGTTGCAGCAACTGTATCGTAGACCGAGCGCTAACCACTGCGCCATTGAGCTCCTCTGTGGCTATGTATAATAATATAAAAGGCATATCTAGTAGGCAATACCTTAAGAATAATATGAAGAAGACTGTTAACGACACCAGCGCCACCTGTCACAATATTCGCGTGTCGGAGAACCTCTACAGATACAGCTAACGCCTGTCCCGTCTGAAAACAAGTAAAAGTCACTCTTATGTCGGTAACAGCATAAATGAATTTCTTAAAGAAAAATGCTTAAAAAATCCACCAGTCCCAGATAGTCTGCGATGGGACTCGAATCCATGACCTTTCGCAATCCGGGCGACTGCGCTTTTCATTAAGAATATTTCCCAGTATAGCATTGTGAATTCAAAATTGATCAAATTTAATTAGTATATTTTTTGATTAAATATAATTATTATATGAATTGAATAAGTAAAATCAGCGAGATGACTGGAAAGGGTAGATCAAATCTTTTATCAGGATTTGAATAACACTAGAATTCTTGCAGCGCTTCGACAAGAAGTTTTTAATTCTTCTTCTTCTTTATTTTACTCTTAAATGTCTTGAAAATTAAAGGAGAAATATTTTGAGTGTCAAGAATTTTGTACGTTGACTTTTGTGCCTACTAATAGATGTCGTAAACATTTTAGATTAACTTTAATATAACAAAATTGTCTACATGAATCTTTGCGAGCGCAATAGCAATGTATTTGTGCAAGAGATGTGTAATGTCAAGTCATTGTACGTAATACAGGTGAGGACAGTAAACGAAAATAAATACATATTATTATTATTTTCTGGTAGTGTGTCAGCGTTTATGCTTATTATATTTATAATATTGCCTAAATTAAATAAGAAAAAACAAAAAAAATATATATATATACTCGTTCACGTGTACGCAAACAGCGCGTGGCGTCACGCCCCACTTACTCATATCAGAACTTAAGAGAATTAAACCTTATGCATACATAGAACGATTTAGTTTTAGAGGGGCGTGACGTCATAGCGACGCCATTACAGAAGTTGACGTTTTCGCGGCAAAATTCTCTGTTCGGCGACCGTACTATAGAAAAAACTATGTTAGGTGTACTCACTTTAGTCAAGTTAGTGCCTGCTGCAGCAGAACGGGACAGCAGATTGCTAGCAGCACCGGCCGCAAGGCCGACACTAGATGCAGCTATGTTCAACCAACTACCCCGCGCTTCAGAATCAGTTGGACTTATACTCTGTAATATATTTTTTCAGTAGTTTTAATGTTTTATTTTCTAATGAATGAATGAAATATTCTTTATTGTACATACTATAAGTAAATGACCAGTGGATAGTAATGTAACAGACAGTACAATAAGCGGAATTATTGCTAATACATACACTTAAGAATGCAAAGTTAGTATTACGATTGCTGCAATGAATTTAGTGATAGATAGTGCTCCTTAACTAAAATTTTAAAATTGTTAATGGTGTGTGTACGCCGTCCATAAATTACGTCACACACAATTCAAGATTTTTTAACGTCACTGCACCGAACTCGAGATCATCGCACAACAAATTAAATAGAAGTTTGCGAAACACTTATTATTTTCTACTTATTGGGTATTCTGGCGTTGTTTTTAAGTTATAAATGGACATTAAATGTTAATTTTTGTAGATTATTTTTATATTTCTATGATAATAAGTAGAAAAGACAAAAGTGTATATATTTTGTAGGATATTTATATATCTTTTATATTACCTTTAATGTGTATTAAACTTGTTTAGACACCAATCAGCATTAAAAATAGGTGAGAGTCGAATTCGCGCACCGAGGGTTCCGTAGAATTATTATATTTTAGTACCTTAGAACATACCCAATACTTACTTACTTATAATACCTTGGTATGTTTTATTTCATAGTGTTTGTATAAATGACAAAGTAATATTTTGTAACTAAATAGTATATTTAAGTAAATATTTAAGAATGTTTCAGTTTTTTTTAATAATATATTTTAATTTTAAATAGAAAAAAAATAGTTAACTTTTTCAATAAAAAATATTTAATACCTACTCTGTTCACAATTACTTTACTCTTTGCTTACTACTATGTGTTTGGTGTTTGACATTTATAAAACATTGTATAATATGTATGTACTACTTGTTTTGTAATTTGCCGATAGAAAGTTGCTGTAATACGTGCTATTAGAGGAAACCCAGTAAATACTTACTTGTTCATGTACGCTTCTATCGTGTAAATGAAGGGATGATCTCACAAGACCATACAGTCCCGTGGCTACTGTAGCAACCGCCGCTCCGGCCAATACCGCTGGCCCCACTGGTGTGAAAGCGGCCACGCCAATAACACCAATAGCGCCTATTGATGCGACAGTACTCGCTGTATCGACGGAGCTCAAAACGCGCGCTTTCAAACCCAACGTTGGCGTTGGTGCCACTGTTAATTTAACAGCAAACGCTTGCTGACCCTATTTAAAAGAGATAGAGGATATTTCGCTTTATTATACTTATATTTGCATTAAATTAACATTTACATTCTGATGTTGTGGGTACCAGCTGCGATTACTTTGTAACGTCTATTTTACACAAACCTATATTTGACAATAAATGATTGAGTATATAACTTTTACAGAAAGGAATAGAGGTACACTTCTGTGGCCACATTTACAATGATCCTATCTGATTTGCAATTTCTTTATGTACAACATATTCTAAACTTGTTTGCAGAACAAGTTGAATGAGAAAAGTTTTTTAAACATCACTCCTAGGCTATAAAAACACATCCACTATCAACCTGAGAAAGTGATATTTCTTAAATTTATCATGCTTCATGTGCAGCTATATCTCCCACTAGTAAATCAAGCATATAATAGGTGAAGCAATAATGATTTAATTAGCATAAGAGGGTATCAATTTTTTTTTCTTAAATTAAATATGGTATATTTATAAAGCAACAATATATTTTATGTATTCACCTCAATAATGGTTCCAGTATATTCTCCGTTTTCAGGTACAATAATAACGCATTGTGGTAAAGTATTGTTTATTAGATACGAATCCCAGTCATGATAAACTCGAGCATTTTCATCTATATATACTCTACATGATTTTGCTGAAAAAGCAAAAAAAAAAAAAAAAATATCATATACCTAGCATAACTATCACAACATTAACAAGAAACTTTGATATGCTATGTTAGATAACATTAATTGTTAATTTACTGTTTACAGTGAAACAGTAAATTAACTTAACACAATAAGCACCTACCTAGATGCTCAATAACTCTTATCAGAGACTCATTTATTTTGCAAAATTAACCTATATGAACTTTCTACTATTGAAATTCCAACAAATAAAGTTTCTAATCAAATAAGACATTTTAAACTTGGATATCTGGATGTAAGAGTAGAGATTGTGAACTTAATAAAATAAAAAAAGAGAAAAAAACTAATAATTACATTGAAGATTGAAAATATTTCTAATGAAGTATAATAAAATTTAAAATCATTAATATTTCCTAATAATAATACAGATTAACTAAAATAATAGTTAGTAAATGATGTTAAAGAAATGAAAAATATATGTTAGGCGTCCCATATACCATGCTTAGTTTCAGCTGGCATAATTATAATTGAGGATTGGAATTTCTAGTCTAGCAATAAACATAAATGTTGAAATTTTGTAAAATTATAATTGACATTAGTGTTGTATCCTTAAATATGTAATGTATGTGGAAGTATCAGATAACTCTTTGAATACTTACATCCTTCTAGTGTTGGAATACATTTTCTGACGCGAAACACAGCAGTGCACCAGATATCCACATCATTTCTTTGATGTAAATCTATCCAGTAGTCAGACGGTTGAAACTTATAAAACTTCAATGGTTTTGGTTTAGCACACACAACTAACAGTACTGACATAACAATATCGTCATCATTTTGGGAGTATTTACCTGAAAATTTCACAATTGAGTCAAAGTCAAAATAATCTTTATTCAAATAGACTTCTTAAAATTATTTTTGGATCGTCCCACATTTTTTCCCTGCCACTTATTCAGAACATCTTTTGGCTAAAAAGAAGAATGAGCAAGAAACTCACCAGGTCTAATAGGAGTAATGACATTCAAAAAACCAAGTCATCACCAGATTAATTCATTATAAATAGAGAGACAAAAACAATTATCTATTAATTAGCTTTTACCTATTAAACTGTATAACTGATACATGGAAATAAATCTAATATTGACATAGATGTAACTTACATAGACATAGATGTCTGTTATAAATTCAACATCAACCATAACACTAAAATCAACCGTACCAGTAATCAACAGTAACAGTACCTAGCAATCAGCCAAGCATAGATTGAGGAAATTGACAAACACCATTTGATTTAAGTTTGAAAATTCAAATGTTTCACAACAAAAACTTTACAACTCAAATTATGATTAAGATATACTGATAGTATATATTTTTTCAAGTCACTTTCCACTTATTAGCAAGCAGGAATTACTGTAGTATATTGATACTATTGCATTTACTAATACTAATATTAATAGTCAGGAGAAAGGAGGTAATAAAATTGAGGACTCAATAAAAACAATCTGGTAACGACATGGTTGCTAAATAACTATTACTTAACATCAAGTCTAGAGAATTATAAAAGGGGTTACTCCAGTAATAATAATTATATCTTAAAAAATTAAACATTTCCATGAATCATGGATGAATTATGCCTGCTGGTTGACCACTAGTTTTATGAATGAAACAAATAGTTGGATATTAATATCAAACTAAAGATATGGTCACAATCTTATCCAGAAATTTATAGGATACTTACTTTGTTCACACAGTTTCTCATAAACTTTCATCACTTGTGCCTTTTGTCTGGATGTGTAGCCTTCTAAATGAGCGCTTTGTGAACTGGTGAGGTTTGTAAGTTCTCCTTCACAACTTGGACCACCAAATAAAGCAAATGCTACATTCTGCAGTAAATGGTTCCTGTTACTCTTCTCATACCTGCAGTTAAACATATATTTTGTAATAACTTATTGCTCAACAAATACAGACTGCTTGTATACTTAACATTATAGGTAAGTTGTTTTTAATGTTAACATTACCTATATACTTTTCACTATCTACAAACAAATCCACAATGAAATTAGTGCATAAATTATAAATTTGACCAAGGTGAATCAGAGTTGCATTACTTGTTTATACTATTTTGTTAATATACTTAAATACTTACTTGACCCAATCACAATCTGACAAATTCTCAAAATACTCCTGCTGTATTTGTACTGGAGAAAGTTTTATCATAATATCTGGATTACCATACTGCTCCAAAATATTAGCATTTTCAGGCAAGTACGGCAGTTCCTGGGCTTCTTCCGCGAAGTTTTCTTGCTTTTGCACAGTTTTAACCACATCCATTTTATTTAATAGAATTAATTTACATGAAAAAGTAAGTACTGAAAACTAAGAAACCTTTTATTGACAAAATAGCTAAAGTTTCAATGTATTACGTCAACCAACAAAACGCACTTAACAATCACAGAACACTATAGAAAACTTCTATTACTACGTACTAATAACAAAGTTTATTCACATGAAAGACGTACATCAAAATAACAATTACCAATGTAAAAGTTTATGTACTTAATTAACTTCCAAATCTATAAAATTGTAGGTCACGAAAAGTGAAATAAAGTCATTTAATCCATCTCAAATAATATCAGACGATCAGCCACCAGCAAAAAGAACATAAATAAATCTTGTATTGTATTCAAAGAGTAAGTAAAGCTTCCAGTATAGTGTTGTAATCTTTGAAGTAAAGTACCTACGCTTTATAATGAATGACAGTTCATGTCAGGGATACCTGTTTTGACCACCAAATCATTCGATATTTTATCGATTAATAAAATCGGCAAGTACAGAGATAATATCTAAAGCAAAGTAAGAATACACTTCTATTTAACCTAAGACTGCGCCGAGTATCAAATATTAAAATGATGTTTTTTTTTTTTATATAGCCGTAATCAGCCAGATCTAGTAACTTTATCAAAGTTATTAGCATTAAAAAGTTAAGAAGTAGATGTAATCAAATTAAAATTATTCAGTCACTCACGTACCATTAGCATAACTCGACTTTCATAAATCTTTGTAACGACTTAATAAAATCGAAACTATGCTTTAGTTTCGTAAATCTTCGTTAAATAATGATGAAGTCACTTTCCATCACAGTATAAAAAAAAAATCATATGCTGAGCCAAACAAGCTCATTGATAACAATTATTTGATATCCATTTTAAAAGAAAAGAAAATGGACCAAAGTGAGTAGGTAGTCTAGAACAGACTTATTTCCACTAGCAGCACCCATCCACGGACATGACGCAAGGGCCAGCCATCACTTTGCCATATTTTAGTGAGTATAATAACAAGCATGACAAACTAGCAGAGACTATAAAAAGCATGACAAACCCTAGACAGCTATTACGAGGATAGTAAAGCCTTTTACACACAATAGATCTATAAATGTTAACAGGCTATGGCAAACTATCTCTGTATTAATTAGCATAATAAGATTTATGCATATCTAATGCATTGCAGTTCTGTTCGACCTGTTATTGTCCTTTAGAAACTATGCGTTTCATACAGAACAACCAGCTAGGGTATAATATATAAAATAAAAATAACTTAGACCCCAATTTCTTATTATTAATAATAACATATTCTTATTTGTGTTTAATGCTTTGTCTACACTCATTTGTCAGTTTCTCGGGTCAAGAGTGAGATATAGGTGCACACGCATGGGCGCACCCGAGAAAAGTGACATTTGAGTGTAGACTAAACGCTCTCGAGTTCGTCATGCTACGCGTGCAGGAAGAATATTAAACACAAATAAGAATATGTAATTATTAATAATAAGAAATTGGGGTCTAACTTATTTTTATTCATAAGTAGTGTTGAATGTATTTGATTAAAGTTTAATTGCAAAATGTAATCTATTAACAACTTTGCATGCATAATTTTGGCATTTTGATTATAGAGTGAGATTAAATCAATGCAACACGATTCAGATCACTGATCAATGAGGAAGTATTTTAAAAATAAAAATTAGTTCTTCAAAACATACTAGATGACACTCGCGATGTTTGGATTTTGTTTATGGTATTCATAAAAATTTTGATTCTGACGTAATGTAAGTAAATTGAGTTTCGAAAATTAATAAATATGACATCGTTTTGTGTTTCTTATAATATTTAACTTTCAAATTAATTTCAATTTATTTTAATCGTAAGTTTAAGTTGTTTATTATGTTTCGTGTAAAGGAACGATGTTTGGTTGATACGTCAACATTAGTAATGGGCCAACTTATTGGTTGCTCGTAACTTTTATCCGAATTCAGGTTTGGAATGAAGAACAAAAAGCGGAGCGCAGAATTCAGCTTGTATTTGTATGTGTCATTAAGCATCCACAAAACTAATGAAATTAATATAAATATCAAAATCAATTCAGTCTAGGCTGTTACATAGTACTTGTGAAAGTCGAAAACTTTGCCAATAGTTCGCAAAACTATGGCGGGAGATCTTGTACTGACAAGAATTGGCAAGAAGCTCAGCAAGGGCTGCTTTTTCAATTTCATCTATACTGTATTTGAGGGAATGTAACGACCTAACGCACACGACACCACCGCAGAGATTTTAAGAGAGCATGACTACATTAGGTACTTAGTAAATAATATATTTCAATAAAACTGATTTCTAGAGTAGGTTCAGTTGGAAGTCAATCTATTATTAATAATATTATTGTAAGAACCAAAAAGCACATAGCCACCGTACGAATTAACTTAACACATGGCTCGACGTCCGCCGTCGACATGCAAGATCAGTAGCAATAGCATAATAACTGTAGGTGTCTTTTTGATTTTGAAATTTAAAGATAATCTTGCTGTTCGTTTAGAACAGACGTTTCTTGTTGATTGCTGAATGTTTATTAAGATGATTTAATTATAAAAATAAGATTTAATAACTGATCATAGTTCTTTAAAGTCTTAATTTCGAATTATTTAAAGAATAATATAATCATATAAATCAAACTAGATGTCACTAGCGATGTGTGGATCTTGTCTATGACATTCATTCAAATTTTGTTTCTGACGTAATAAAAGTAAATTCAGTATCGAAAATTAAAAAACACGACACCATTTCGTGTTTCTTATAATATCTAACTTTCAAATTAATGTTAATTTATTTGAATCGTAAGTTCAAGTTATTTATTATGTTACGTGTAAAGGAGCGTTCCTTTACATGTCAACATTAGTGATGAGCCAACTTATTGGTTGCTCGTAACTACAATTGACTTAATTCATTTGAATTCAGGTTTGGAATCAAGAACAAAATTGTTACATAGCACTTGTGAAAGTTGAAATCTTTGCCAACGGTTCGCAATACTAAGGCTGGAGATCTTTTACTGAGAAGAACCGGCAAGAAACTCAGCAAATTCTGATTTTTTTCTCCCTATTTTATTTCACACAGAGAAGTCTTATTGGAATGTGACTTAATTAGACTATGAAGTCACTTTCCATTACAATAACAGAAATTCTACATAGTTTTTGACAAATGAATATACAATATTCACAATAAAAGAAAATGGACAGTGCAGAACCAACCCCAACTGGCAGCAGTATATAGTTATAGTAAACAGGTTTTTTAACACTTACAGCAATTTTCTTTTTATTTGCCAACCATAAGAACGCTGTAAGTAATTTATAGATTTCTAAGGATAAGTTATTTAAGAAAAAGAAACAGAGCTTAAAAATGATGTATTTGAAGTATTTTAATAATTGAGTAGCACAAAAGAGATATTCAGCTAACGATGAAATAGAATTGTTACCAAAATAAAGCTGTAAGCAAAGAAGATACTGAATGTGTCGTTAAAATAAAATGATCATCAAATGATCAAATGATTTATGATCACTTAAAACTTGAATTTTAGGCTTTTTATCTGTTTGTCTTCTATCCATTGCCTTCGTTTCGCCATCTAAAAAAAAGAAAGGAAATCGTTATCCAACATCACCTGCTAGAAACCCTAATCATGAAAAAATCATGTCTATTGTTCAGTTTTTTTTTATACTTTATAGGTTAACGCTTGACTACGATCCCACCTGATGGTAAGTGGTGATGAAGCCTTGGGTGGTATAGCGCATTAACCTAGTAACAGCTTATTCACTCTTGATTTGAAGACATTCACATTAAAATCGGATGGAAATACAGACGCTGGTAGTTTATTCCAGTCCTTGGCAGTACGTATTATGAATGATGAATCAAATCACGCCGTTCTTGCCGGAGGGACGTTGACGACGAAAGGACGTATACCGGCCGTGCGTCGAGACGTTCGATGGTAGAACGGGGAGGGGGAATTAGGTGGTGCAATTCCAGCGCACACTCTCCAAAATGTATCCTGTAGAATACCGGGAGGCTAGCAACTATGCGTCTGTGTTGAAGGCTATGCAGATTGGTTTCAACTAATTTCAGGTCGCCAATAAGTCTTTTCGCACGCCTCTCCATTGAATCCAATGCCGAAAGGTGACATTTTGTGGCACCAGCCTAAATGTGGCAGCAGCAACATCAAAAGCTGTTCTGGTGTGAAAGACCGCCGGACCTTCGCTAGGATACCTAGCTTTCTAGCTGCCGTTTTAGCTTTGGATTCAATGAACCACTCAAAGTTAAGGTTAGAGGATATCTCTACTCTCAATAACTGAAGGCGGTCGGTGTATTCCAAGGAGAGATTTCGGAGAGTAGGAGCCAAGGTGAATGGGCTCCGTTTAGCGGTGAACAGAGACGTTTGTGTTTTGGTGGTGTTGAATTTCACAAGGTTGGCATCGCCCCATTCGGAGACGGCCTGAAGTATGAGACTCATACTCGCTACCATGGCCTCTCTTTCAGACTGTATTTGGTCTTTAGTGGCCCGGGCGTTAGGCAGGTATCTCTCCACAACTGTGCTGTCATCTGCGTGCCCATAGATACCGGGTATGAGCAAATCGTTAATGTGCAACAGGAAGAGATTTGCGGAGAGAACAGACCCCTGAGGAACTCTGGCATTGGTTGCCATTGCTCATGATGAACGGCCATTGACTCGGAACGAACGTTCTAATCAGACCCAGGGATAAACCGTATGATGAAAGCTGGCTTATAAGGCTAACGTGCCAGACCCTATCAAAGGCCTTCGAGACGTCGAGGGAAACAGCAATCGTTTCTCCGTTTTTTCGATGGCCTCGCCCCATATGTGAGTGACATAAGATAGAAGATCTCTTGTAGACCGGTTTCGGCGAAACACGTACTGTCGGTCGCTGAGGAGATCATTGTGTTCTAGGTATGCCATTAGGCGTCTGTTCAATATACGCTCCAAAATCTTGCAGAGTATGGAGATAATTGAGATTGGCCTGTAGTTGGACGGATCAGCACGGCTTCCTTTTTTGGGCACAGGCTGCACATTGGCAAGCTTCCATGTTTTGAAGGCTGAGCCAAGAGTTTTGCGCCAATATGTCTTATTCGGTCTTTACCAGCTTTCTGTGATGACTTCTTGCAAGACTTGGCGGCTAGGTTAAAGGCTTTCTTCTTGGATTTTATATCAGGAACTTTGCGGTGTCGAGCATCAACCCAGGTGAGATATGCCGTATGCTTATGCTTTTCTGCTCGAACGCATTCGGCGATATAGCATGGGCGAGTTATGCCACCGTCGGGCACGTCACAGAACGGTATGTAATACTCCATGCCTTGACGCACCACATCGGCTATAGCGTCTGCGCAGTTCGACAGATCTCCAGAAGAAAAGCAGACCCCACGCCAAGGATAAGATACAAAAATTGTCGCGTCTCATCCCAATCTGTTGACCTGTAACGCTATAATAGCCTTACACCTCCTGAGTCCTGATTTGGAGGGGAATAGGACGAAACAGATTTCACCAGACTGTGATCTGAGGTACCGAATGGGGAAGAAACCTCAATTGTGTACCTGTCTGGATCGGTTGTCTTCTATTTCCAGGCTTCTCTACCAACGTCGACCACGTTGGTAGAGTCTTCTGGTATGGGAACAGCCAATCTTAATCGTTAAAGTCCCCCAGAAATGCGCATCGGGGTGCCGATGTGATACTTCATCAGCAGCCACGCTGAGCTGTTCAAACAGCCGAGTCGTCTCCTGGTCACCGCTGTGCGATCGGTAGATACAAGAGTACAGAATTTTGTCCGTATCTGTGTCCACCAATACCCAGATAGTGTAGAGGAGTGCTGTATTCAAATTGACGGAGACGCCGACACCAGATATCGTTTCGGGCATACACACAGACTCCGACGCGAGGGTGAAAATTGTGCTC